AAATTTCTTGAATTAAAAATTTTAAATTCTAACCCAAAGTAAATGTTGGAGATACTCTAATCTACACAATTGCAAAACTTACGCAAAGGTTAGAAATCGATTTAATAAATGTTTTTTAATCCCAGGCATCTGTACTACTAACTTGTGAGTGAGTTGACAGGAACAGCTCATTCATATGATGATGAGAAGATAGTGATGTGACTGGAAAAAGGTTAGCACCAATAATAGACAGCTGAACTGTGGAGCCAGTCTAATCGAAGCCAACTCAACACGCCCATGGTGTATGTATCGGTGTTGGGATGAGAATTTGCCACTGCATATCTAATTATACAACATTAATACCAAAAATCAAAGAAGATAAGTCCCTTTAGCAAGTTTAGTAGCATGTTCCACCTGAATTTTATACCAAGTTTAGTAGAATATTCATTTCCGCACTTCTTTTCAATCTTGTCAATCTGCTGTTTATATATTTTAAATCAAATTAATAGCAAGAAAAAAATGGAAAGAAACAGAAGTGCAAAAATCACTCCTTTTGTGAAAGAAAAGAGGTTGAAAATTTCACTACGATACATGAGGAATAAATTAGAACTCTGTCGCTTGCAGTGAAATGATTATGTCTTTTTGAAATAAAGAAAATGATTTTTACATAATTTTTTTTACTTGTGCATCTTTAGTTTAATTTTTTCTCTTGATTTTTTAGTATATTCAAATCAAAAGTTATAAAAACAAACGTGAGCAAAACAAATAGTGTTTTAAATTAGCTATAAAAGAAACAAAACAAATCGAATTTTCTCTTGAATGAATCATTTATGGACATATCTCTCTGTATCTTTTTTTTTCTGTGTAATTTTTGGTCAAAGAAGTACTAATCTTGGCGAGAGAGGGAGTGATAAAAATATATGATAATATCTGCAGAAATAGTAGTGAGTGCATGGGGAATAGGCGAAGAGAGCAGTGCGAGTGAGTGACAAGTGAAGATGATGCTGCAGCTCATGAAAGCGTGGTGGTACTGCAGGTACAACCACACTGGTGCCTCTCCTTCTTGGACACGTCCAATCTTAATTTTCTCTCACCCAAACGCCACTCAGAATTGAGAGAGAGAAGAAAAGTGTTAATAACCTAAAAAGCATGGCAACGAGAGGACATGTTTAAAATTTTGCCATGTTTCTGGCCCCCACGGCTTTTGCAGTACCAGTTACTAGTAGCGCGAGACTCCCGGGGGAATTTGCTATGTAAAAGGCCCAGTTCTGTTCTACACTGGCCCACTGATCACTGGCCCCCCTCTCCCTCCTCTCTCTCTATCTCTAGGTGCGTGCGGGTGGAGAAGGTGGTCGTCGCCGCCAGCTATATCTCGATACCACACCCACCGCTTCTGTAAAATTTGATATTGCTTGTGTCGCGGTTTATTGGCTTTCCCTCCGCGTCATCGACTCATTGTACACACTCACACACGTGGTTTTCCTGCAATGCCCAATTGCTCATATAATTATATTCCATTAGCTAGCTAGTCTCATCATTTTACTTTGATTTACAGAACAATATATATACATATTTGACCAATAAAAATGAACAATATATGTCTACATACAAAGTTACAGACAATATGCTGAGATAGGGTTAGGTTCCTTTTACTACTATTTACAGTTGAAATGTCGTAGTCCTCCTGTCCTACTGCCTATTATTTATATATAAATATAATGTTATTTTTTGTTTAAGGTAACAATAGTTTTCTAAATTAAGTTCTTTACGATATATTGAGAACCATAAGAACAATATAATTGAAATATGACCTACAAGTATCAAATCGACAACATATTGAATTTTAAAATAGTTATCGGACTTGAGACAAATTATATAAATATATTAAATCCTAAAAGCATATTTTAGAGACTCGCTATATTATCCTTCTCAAGAAATATAATACAACAATTACAAAAATTTCACTCCAAAGTATTGGCTATACCTCAAATTAATATACTTTGTTTGTCAAAAAAAAAAAAAATATATATATATATATATATATATATACACTTTGTGAATAATTACTCATTAATTTTAGCCAAAAGGAAAAAACATAACAAAATATTTTGCTAAGAACATTCGAGCATACCATGCTTTCCTCTTTCTAATTATACATGCGTACTGACCTACAGAACTTTTCTTTTATTGACCTATTATGTACGTATGAGAGGGAAGTTATTATATACAAAACTAATTATACAGTATTAAACTGCAAAACTTCCTTCTAGTGACCTACTTTTTATGTACGAGAGTGAGGATATTATGTACAAATTATAACAGGACTTTATAGTGGGTTTCATTATTTAATCTCCAATGTAATTTCTTTACTACCTAAACCTTACTTATTCTCGGAAGTTAGGGAGAACTTTGAAATTTTATCTCTTTTAGCTTGATAGTTGTGGGACATTATGTCAATCAAGTGTCTTCTCATTACAAATTCTTCTAGGCATTTGATGTGAGTTTAGCTACTGAGATTTGTAATTAGATCCTATCGTTTGAGAGAGAAAATGAAAGGAATGCACTGTAAAAAGAGTCCGCAGACTCATATTTCAATTGTTTTTTGAATGTGTCCTGGCTAAAAAAAAATGTAAAATTATTTTAATTAAGAAACTATGAACCATTAAAAACTCAACATTAATATAACAAGGAGAATGCTAGCCACTTTCCTTTCTTACTTTTTTTTCCTTTCCTTTTTCAGTCGTTTATGTAATGTGCATTTCACTTACAACTAAATCTAGGCAATTAATATGTTTAAAATTTGTCACTTCTCTTTCAACTTATACCCCTAATTATTATTTCAAATGTTAACCACACCAATAGTACTTCTCATTTTCTTCATTAGTAGGTATTAAACATTTCAAATTTTAAGGACTCCTCTTTCATTAGAAAAAAAATACGAATTTTTGTTTTCAGGCTGCCGTAGGGGTTGTGCTGCATAAACAACTTTGACAGAAAGCCCTATCATTGAAAGACTTAATTAGTTACTTGTGCTTCTGTCGACGGTGGCTGGCATCAACATGGTTAAACGATGAATATGAATCTGTTTCAAGGTGAATTCAATAAGGTCCTTCAGATAGGATCTTGTAGAAAAATTTTGCTGACATATATTGATTCGCCCGTCTGGTATGTGAAGGCAATACAATACCAAGCTAGAAAGATAAATTCCAGTCCAGATACAATTTCTTCGAAAATAATATTCCTAATTTCGTGTATATTATCAAATTAATAATGATCTAATCTTTTATAGTTTTACAAATCAATAATTATCTAATCTTTTACAGTAAAAAACTACATGATAATGAGAAAATCATCATTTCAAGTGATGTTTATCCATTAATTTCGCCTCGCACTAGTTTGGTTTGGTTAAGAGACAAAAAACGAGGAACTGTATAAGATATGTTGTCCATCACTTTATTTTTTGGTGCTTTTTGGACCTGAAGAATGATTAATAATTGCAAGTGCAAGTTATACTTGGGGTATGGATGAGGTGTTTTTCTCAATAGAATATTGTATTCCTTCCAATTGAAGTTGAATTTTGTTTTTGTTCTCTTTCTATTGGTAAAGCACTTACCTTTTTTCGGTCATTCACAATCACTTCATCTCACTATATAAGAAAACTCATCTTCAAAATGATTTAAGAAAGAAGAAGAAGAAGAAGAAGAAATGATTGTTAGAGGTTTAAGTATCCAAAGTAAAACCATTAATTGGTAAAGAAAGAATAGGCCTCGGTCAGTATTAAACATGGTAAGGTAAGATAAGTTACATTTGGAACGTCGGATATAATCCCAAGTTATAATAAGTTCATAAAATAAAAAAAAATGTCGGGCTCGTTTGGAAGTACTTTTAAAATGACTGAAAGCACTTTTAATAAAATATTTTTAGAATCAATCCTTAGTAGAAATAGTTGTGAATTTAAAAAAACACTTAAAATGCTTTCTACAAGAAGTACGTGTTTCTTGTAGGAAACACCTTAAGTGCTTTTGAAATCCAAAAAGTTTCTTTTAAAGCGTTTTCAGTTATTTTAAAAACATTTTCAAATGAGTCAATCATCTCCAGAAGACCATAAATGTTGCTCTTCAAATAGAGAAAATTTTAAGCATAAACTAAATATAAGCAGAAAAACACTACATATATTCCTTTTTCATTTATGTTATGCATGCAATCTAGCGGTTTGTGTTAAGGGTATGTGGAAAAACCTTCCTTTCAACTGCAAGTTTGTTTACTTAGATGACAGCTTAAAGGCCAAAATTTATTTGCACATAAAGAATTAAAATTTGTTTCCAATTTTACAGTCCAACCGACTCTACAAATTTTATGATTTATTGTTTGTCATTATTACAACAAATGTTTTGATTTTCTTTTCTACATCTATTTGGGAGCATGTTTTGATGACATGGATCTATATTTAGTTGAAAAGTGTGTGGAGTTTGTTTGAGATGCACTTAGGGTTCTATAAAAATTGCTCATTTTCTCGAAAGTGTAAATGAAAAATGATATTCGCACTTAATTTTTTTTTTTTTTTTGCACGTTCTAGTTTATTTTTATTTTTATTATTCTGTTATTTGCTTAATCTAATGACTTCCTATGCGAAATAGGAGAAAAACAAATAAGAAAAGGGAAGGAACATATAAAATTGAATTAAATAGAAAAATTATAATAATAAAATAATGAAAAAAAAGGAAAAAATTCCGTGAAAGAAAGGTTAAAATCAAGACTAGGAGGGACAGAGAGATTGATGGAAGAAAAATCTTCAATCTAGTGAGTTACCTGCTCGCTAGGTCTCCTATACAGTCATTGCTTTCGAGCATTTTCAAATATTTCTTTATTTTCTTTCAACAAAGCAAAGTCAGTCTCTTTCACCCTCGCATAACACAGAACTGCGAGTAGCCGGTTCCGGCCACGCCATCTCCTCCCAGTTCCTCAAAGTAATCAATTATGATATATATTTTTCTGTAACGAAATTATAACATGCTTAATTCCTTGTTTGGCTTCACTTCCTGGCCTCCATAATCTCATGGATTGCCAATAACAATAGTTCGGATCCCATTGGTTTGCATAAAACCCTGGTCTCGTTTTGTGTTCCCGGTACTCATAAATTATTCCTTTCTGTCTTGACTAGCTACTAGCTAGGGTTTCGGTCTACTACTGGGGTTTTAGTTGATTTATAAATTAGAAGCCTTTGGGGTTTGCTGAGAGAGAAAAAAAAATGGAAGACTACAACAATCAAATGGATCATGAGAGTTCGGGTGGTAGGGGAAACTTCCTCTACGCCTCACCAAACCTTGGAGGAAATTATGGGAGAGCTGCAAGTGATCACCAGATGGGGATCAACACCTTTCATCTTCAGTCAAGTGGCGGCGGAGGCGGCGGCGGCAGCGGTGATCAGTGTAATTTTCAGTCTCCAGGAACACACCCAATTAATGTGAAGACCGAAGCCACCACATCACAGCATGGCCACCAAAAATTTCAGTACAACAGCAATAATAATAATCATCTTGTTTCTTCATCAAGAGGGCACCAACCAGTTGTTCATCAGCTACAGAATAATTTGAATCTTCTAAACGACGATCACAGCCTGAGCTCCAACGAAGTTGAAGCCATCAAAGCCAAGATCATCGCCCACCCTCAGTACTCTAACCTCTTGGAAGCTTACATGGATTGCCAAAGGGTAATTGTTTTATTAATTAACACGTTTTTCTCTTTCTTAGACCATGAAGATTAAATAAATGAATTTTTTTTTTCATATAAACGATCTTTTGTACTAAATCTATCAAATTATGAGAATTTTTTTATTTAAACTCGAGTAAAGAAGGATAGTACAATGGTTTAACAAACTCAGCTAAGCTCATCTCTTCGATTTATATGAATCATTCGTGTTATGGATGTAGGTGGGAGCTCCGTCTGATGTTATGGCTCGGCTCTCAGTTGCTAGGCAAGAGTTTGAGGCACGACAGCGGTCTTCTGGGACTTCAAGAGAGACTTCAAAAGACCCAGAACTGGATCAGTTCATGGTGATCCATATCTTCCATTTTAATTTATTTTCTTAGTTACTATGCTTTTTAATGGGGATTAATATATTATATGTGCATTGCTTGATGTTTTTTTTATTTATTATTATAAACAATAAAATCTGGATGGATCAATTACTAAATTAACAGGAAGCTTACTACGATATGCTGGTTAAATATCGTGAAGAACTAACAAGGCCAATACAAGAAGCCATGGATTTCATGAGGAGGATTGAAACTCAGCTTAACATGCTTGGAAATAATAATAATGCTCCTCCCCTTCGGATCTTCTCACCCTCTGGTAAGTGGTACTTACTTTTCCCTACAAACATAACTGAATTTTGGACTCATATATCCATGTGCTTAGATTTTTCTTATGTTATATTAGGCGTTTTCGAATTCTGTACTTAACGTACATCAATCCATCTTTCCATTACCGCTAACCTAAATCCATATACTGTATTTAAATATTATTGTATAAGTAGAGCATGGGGAAGGAGCTTGGAGTTAGAATTCATAAAATGGGAGATATGTGGATTTTTTGGTCTTGAACTGCTGCAAAACTGCTAGTCCAACTGTTTTGTCTCACCTTGAGGAGAGTACCCAAAACTTGTCAGCATCTCTTTTATTTTCTAGGCGTACGTCAAATCCGGTTATTTTTTTGAGGGAGACCAATTTGACCCATCAAATAGTGCCTTCCAATGTCCAAGAACAAAGAGGAAGCTAGAGGAAGAAACCACACCTACCATTTTTTCATTCATGAGTGGCTTCAATAACTGTCGATGAACATAGACATTTTAATCACGAGCTTAATAGTGTGATAATGACTTAATTTCTTTGCTTAGTTTATAGATTTGTTTAAAAATATATTCACATTGGAAGGGAAATGACTATTAATTAAGACAAAGACTTAGTGTAAATACCCTATTCTATATGTAAACAGTGATGAGAAGAGAGATCAAACATTTGATTTGGTTAATAATTCTCTCTTTTTTAAGGGTTAGATTTACCATGCCTTTGTGGTGACATAATTCTCATTTCTTTTAGGGTTTCCACTTTCCAACCCAAAACCAAGACCTCCCATTTGTTTCATAAATCTGATTTTCTATATATAACATGATTGTTTTCATTCCCTAGTTACTCACTAGATTTGGTAAAAAAGGTGTTTTAACAGATCCGTATACAATAAAACCTTATACAAACCAAATAAAGAATAAAAACCTTGCAGAAGCTATAGTAAAAAAAAACATAGGATGCTATTTAAATCAGCTAGCTACACCACCTAGACGGTACGGACATGGCAGAATTCATTTGAAATAGAATGCCACCATTTATTAAGTTCCATGTTGGCTATACCTACATGCCCCAGATTTGACATATCTTCGGTTCATGCACATGATCGTTCTTTACCTCTTTTATTTTTTATTTATGTTTTATGTGTGCATGAATCTATCATTGTTGTATTCCTTTCTGGTGGTAGATCAGCTTTAGCTAACCTTGACAGTTTGTAAGAGATATTTTCTAGTCACCACACCACGTCGTAAGTGTTTATTGAACGAGTGATTTACCTTTTGCACATAGGATAAGTATTTATTGACGGGGTAACGCTAATGAGGTCCCTTCTTAGTTGCGTAGAGAATCTCTTATGTTTATCACACTCTACAGTCCACATATATTGAAGTGTTCATATATCTTAACCTTGACAGTAACTTATATTGACTGGTTATTTGATTTACTTTATGGAATCTGCATGATCTGTAATAGTTAACAAAGTTTGCTTCTAACAATGTCTATATAATGCACTCGATCTGCAACAAAATATATAATAAATCTATCACGAGCTCTTGTAGCCAAAGTTGGTGTCTCTCCCTTTAAAAGTTCTTCTTTTATAAGGTTTTTTTTGGGAAGTGTTATTGGCATTCTAAAAATCTCATTCTACACTTCTCACAAGTGTATTTTTCTTTCCAAATATAGAAAGTTTGAAGTATAGAATGAGATTTTTGAAGTACCAATAACAATTCCCTTTTTTTTAGGTAATTAACTATATAAGAGCACAACACATGCACTTTCTGGGATAGAATTCCGGGATCTCCATTCCTGTTTTCACACACACGTGTGTGTGTGTGTATTTCTTGAAAGGTTTTCGTTGTTCTTGGCTGTTTCAATCTTTCTTTTTTGATCGAGCGAGCAAACTACCTTTCATAACCTTACTTCCCCGGCTTTCTGGTAAGGATTTCTCTTCCTTAGCGTGTTCTCAGACCAGGGAATTGCTCCTCTGACAAAATCTAAATAGGCTAGAATGCTTCTATCGATAGAGTATGCACGTCTGCGCATAGAATCGCTTTATCGCCTTTCCATTTTGTTCTTAAATATATATATATATATATATATATATATTAAGGGAAATGATTTTCACATGCGGCTCTGTCCTTCTGTGCACCGCTACGTCCTTGGTTTCTCAGTTTTTATAATTAAGAGTCACATGCATGTTAATATATGCAGAGGACAAGTGTGAGGGAATTGGTTCATCTGAAGAGGAGCAGGAGAATAGTGGTGGAGAAACAGAAGTGCCTGAGATTGATCCAAGAGCTGAAGACAGAGAGCTCAAGAATCACCTGCTGAGAAAGTATAGTGGTTACTTAAGTAGCCTGAAGCAAGAGCTTTCCAAGAAAAAGAAGAAAGGGAAATTGCCCAAAGATGCCAGGCAGAAGCTCCTTAGTTGGTGGGAGCTACATTACAAGTGGCCATATCCTTCGGTATGTTTTCGATTCATTGAGATTTTGAAGTCCGTATTAAGAATGGGTACATGTCATTATGTTCGTCGATCATAGAGGAATTTTCTCGTGTCAAATATTATGTTGTGTTATGTTGTGAGACTATTAATTAACTGGATTTCATATCACTGATTGGACGATGCATTAATGACATGTATGGCACCGGGTTTACAATCTAATAAAATGATCATGTTACTAAACAGGAATCGGAGAAGGTGGCTTTGGCGGAGTCTACGGGTTTGGATCAGAAACAAATAAACAATTGGTTCATAAATCAAAGGAAGAGGCACTGGAAGCCTTCCGAGGACATGCAGTTTATGGTGATGGATGGCCTACACCCACAGAATGCAGCCCTTTATATGGATGGACACTACATAGGTGACGGTCACTACCGTCTCGGTCCATGACCTAAACAACTCCGTGACATTGTGTCCTCTTCTGCTCACGCAAGGCTCACAGTTAAAAGTTGGCTTAATTAGTTTTATATGTATGATCTGAAGATAAAAGCAAACTGCTTATCGTAGTTTGTAATTTTTATGGCTAAGTACGTACGTACTTAATTGGGTAATGTTCTATATTCCACAATCCAAGCTGATGATTTATACGTATATGGATTTTTTTTTTTTTTTTTATTACGTGCTGTGTTGCTGCGATTTTATCTAGTGGTCTCTTTGGTATATTTCATTAATGTGATGCTAGCAGTAAGCTGGATGGTTTCCATTATTTTGCGTGACATAAGACGTTTTAGAGTTGATGTTTGCGTCATTGTGCGCCAAAAAGGAGTGAAATATCAGTAGTTTAGAGCATCGTTAGTCTTCTATTTTAATGCATGCATACTGCCATGTTATAAGGCTTCTACTATAGAAACTGAAAGTAGGGATACCTTCACCAGGGACATGGATCCCCTCCGGATCCATTGGTCCTAATCCACCAAATCCTATAATTCAGGCCATTGAAATTTGATCAAACGGTTACAAACAGGGATTCATTTTAAAAGTTCTAATAATTTTAGCCGTTGTATCAAATTTCAATAACCTGAATTACGAGATTTGGTGGATTAGGACTAATGGATCCGGAGAGGATACATGTCCCCTGCACCAGTAATTCTTGTAAGTTGTAAGCTAGAATCAATATTCAATTAATTTTTATTTATTTATTTTATAATAGATTACAAACAACTAAACTTAATTGTAGTTGATATTTCATGTTCAAAAATCATTAGATTGTCGTAATGACTTAGATGTAACAAATACAGCCATACTGGTGAATGCATCAAACTTAAATGTAAAGACTCATGATCCAATGCGAATCAGATTAAAATGGGATAACTATCTGTCATGTATTTGCATTCAAACGTGTTCACTGTTAGATTTTTGGGAAGTTTTTGTGTTTTGGGGGTTGAAAAAAGTTAGGATTCCACCATTAAATTAATTGGTTATATGGAGAATAGTCTAATCTCTTATAAGTCATCGTAAGATTTCTTCTTTCACCTAGTGTATGACTCGACATATATCCCTCACATGTGACGAATTTTCAAGACAAACACATGGGCAACGAATTGAGAGACGTGTAGCTGTTGAGCTTCACACGTGAGCCAACTTGCTTTGATATCATAAAAAAAAAGTTGAGGGGGAGGGGGTGAAAAAAGTTAGGATTCCACCATTAAATTAATTGGTCATATGGAAAATAGTTCAATCTCGTATAAGTCATCGCAAGGTTTCTTCTTTCATCGGTGTATGACTCGACATATATCCCTCACATGTGACGAATTTTCAAGACAAACACATGGGCAACGAATTGAGAGATGTGTAGCTGTTAAGCTTCACATATGAGCCAATTTGCTTTGATATCATAAACAAAAGTTAAGGTTATACCATAAAATAAATTGACAATATGAAAAGTAATTCAATAGTTTATAAATCCTTATAAGATTTATCATTTAACCACCAATTTATGACTCTTATACCTTATTATCCTTACCGCCATGACCCCTAGGGGAATAAATGTGGCTCCACCATTTATTAGAGCATTTCTCAATAAAAGAAGACATAAACTATGCTGAATAATCAGTTAGCCCATGGTGGAAGGGCGGCAAAACTTATTTCTTATAAAACCACCTTTCAGACAGCCTCTAAAATTCATTAGCAAAACGCCAATGAAGTTTTGGGTGGTTCAGTTCCAATCTGAGATCAAGTTCTAAAATAATTCTCGAAGAATTTTTTTGGATAGATTAATGTATATAGGTTAATGATAAATTAAGGACCCACACAATTCTTTTTAAGAAAAGTTAACGAAAATTTAAAAAAAACTTTAATTTTATTGAAAAATAAAAAAATGAATGTGTAGTGAATAGTATCAATGAAAGGTAAAAATATAATTTTTTTTTTTTTAGTTAAAAATAAACAATACCAAAAATATTTCGTTAAATTATTTATTTATTTATTTATTTTCTATTGCCTCAATGGCAGCAGGCAGGCGTATTCAATTTTTTTTTGAGTTAGGGGTTGCTGATCGAGAGACGAAACAAGATAGGTTTAATAGGTTACATCATGGTTGGTGGGCTGACCTATGTATATAGGGTTAGGACTCGGAAATACATATTTTTTTACACATATTTGATACTTATTTTGTAAAATTTACTTTGTAATAAATTTATCGATCCGAGTCGTTTATATATTAAACTTTAGTACATTATTCTTAGATCATTCTTGTAAAAAAAAAAAGATAAATTTAAATCATTAAGACATTCATTTGTAGTGAAAGAAATTGACGAATATTTACTCTAAATTTAATCCAATTGTCATATGGTTTCAAATTTAGTTGATTTTTGGTAAATGGTTTGATTGTTAAAATACATTACGGAGTGAACCATAAAAATATATTGTCAAAATGTATGTGAAAAGCATATGTCCCTGAATCTTCACCCATATATAATATATGGATATAATTCACACATCCATATTTAATTCACACATCCATATTTACTTCACACACACCTTTGTTAATTTTTTATTACATTAATCATCTTTAATTCAGTCATTTTGACAATCGAAAATTAATAAAATGCATGTGAAGTAAGAATAATTATATGAATAGCACTGCCCGCAATATATATGTAAAGGCTTTAAGAAGTCATGGGATGGGATGGTGACGTGCTCTTGGCATCCAGCTACAGGAAGAGAATTTGAAAATCATATCATGAATAATAGGGTTAGGTAAATACCAATAGAAAATAGTTGAAAGAATCTTATCTTTTCACTGTTCGCCCATCTCTAACCGAATTAGAATTAAATGGTTCGTTTTAACCTTCTGGTCATCCAATAAATTAATATTTTAATGAATAGTGTATGACCATATTTTTTATCATCTTCAATCGAGGGCCATAGGCCAAACATAGTCCTGTGACAAAAAATCATCTCCAACTAAAGGCCAAAGAGCTATAGTATGGAATGTGAAGAATTGAAATAACATGAGATAATATAGTATGAAATGGTGAAAAATATGTGAGAAATGGTGTAGGAAAAAGTTAAAAATTAAAAAAAAAAAAAAAAAAAAAAAGTGGCCTGGGACCATAAAAAAATCATAAACCGTAAGTGTGGGCTAGGCAACAGGTTGGCTGGCTGGCTGAAGATGGTCAGCCGGTTGGCCCTTTGGCCCTTTTTTTGTCTCGTAGGGCTCACGAGCCATTTGGCCTAATCCTCGGTTGGAGACGGTTTTCGAGCTATTTTTGGCCTTCTGGCCCTCTGAACCTTTCGGTTGGAGATGACCTTAGTATAAAGATATTTGACTGAACCACGTCCAATTGAACTAACTCACGTCTTCATCAATTCCTACCTAACATCTTCAACTTTGTTACTCCAATGGGATGTACATTTTCAATCTGCAGCAAAATAGAATGAAAATAAGTTTCTTGATCATGTTGTCATGAAAATTGCAGGATCTGTAACGCAGGATAAATGAAGACTAAGAGAGCAGCTACAAGTAAACACTAAAAAATAAAGCTCACTACCAAATACTGGATATCATCACCGTAATATTTTTCTCAAAAAACATTGAGCCGATAACTCGTCATTCTAAAGATCCACCTAAGAATCACAATAAAGGTGAGCGACATGGGTAGGGCTGCAACTTGGATACGAATCTCCGATTTCAAGCCGAAATATTCTAAAATATTCCATCCGATTCATATCCTGAATTTTAAATTCTTAAATTCTTAAATTTGGATAGGAATTGGAATGTATTTAATATTCCCAATTCAATCCAAAATTCTGAAACTTTCATAGCTCTATTAGATACACTTAATTATGTACGTATTGACTTTGGATTTGTAATACACTGTCCTCCAATATGTAATTATTTTTTCATTTATAACTCCTTCGAATATATTACATACAAAAAATGAGAATTTGAGCACCATGAAACTTTATATTATGTAGGGTGAGCCATGGTGATGACATATTTTTTATCTTGGCATAGATGAAGTCATACAACTCCTATAATTTTGAAACTCTAAAATAATCTGATTCCGAAAATACTGAATTTGGCATGAGTTTATGAAATTTCTAAATTAGAAATAACATGCATTTCCGAAATTTTTTTCTTTCAAATTAAAAACATGTATTTCTGATTCGATCCGGCCAAAAATCAGGCTTAGTTAGTGTTGTGGGCTTTAATTCCATGTGTTTGGGCTATTAGCTGTGGTGGTTACAAATTTCTGTACAGTATATTATGTAGTTTTACAAATTTCAACAGGTTTGCAGTATTGTGAAACAAAGTCTAAACCCAACATGGAGTCTCACTATTCCTAGATCACTTGAGTTGAATCTTTAAATAGCTCAGTTGCAAACCATATTCAGCTGAGGGTCAATATAACAAGGTGATAGATTGACTTTGAAGCAAGACTTGTGTTAAACAATTTCTAAGCATGAAAATACTTAACTTCTTACATATATACAATGAGATTCTTGTTTGCATACAACTCACACTTACATGTTCCAACAAACCTTTTCTTTTTGTGATTTTAATGCATTAATTTTGCATGTGTGCCAGACTATAGACACAAAGGATATTTTCTACCGTAAAGATATGTTATTTGTAAGTAAAAGAATAAGTTCATTGCTAAAAAGAGAATGCAAGCATTATTGTAAAGAGCTTCTTCTTAAGCAGCTAAGCATCTTCTAAACAAGAATCCCATGATGTTCTTACATAAAAAAGGAATTTTACTCACCATCCTTCTCATATCATTACAAGAAACAATGAAAGAAAAATTAAGAGAAATATTATCAGACTAATAGTCAATTAGGCCAGTGGGCCGAAAATTGACTGAAAACCGTCTCCAACCGAGGGTTAGGCCAGAGGGCTCGTGGGCCCCACGGAATCTGAAAGGGCCAAAGGGTCAACCGGCTAGCCATTCCAGCCAGCTAGCCAGCCCCGGGCTGGTCCAAATTTTTTATTAATTCTGTCAGATATAACGATAGGAATAAAAGCAATAGTGTCGGTTATAACGAACACGAATAGTAGGCAAAATTTTGAATACAACGGCTAGCTAACTGCATCTAGTTGTTGTATTCAAATTTTTAATGAATTTAAACCTTTTTTTTTCCCTATAAATACCTAAGCCATTCCTACACCATTTCTCACATAATTTTCACAATTCCATACTATCTCACTTCATTCTATTTCAATTCTTCATATTATATTTTCTTACCTCTTCCAATAATATTTCCTTCAATTTTTTCAATAATTTTCAAATGGCCTCATCTGCAATGAAAGGTAGGGCTTGGACTCGAAAAGAACATGAAGCTCTTTGCATGGCTTATAGATGGGTCTCGGAAGATAGTGTAAGGGGGATTTCTCAAACAAGTGAAGGTGTTTGGACTCGTGTGTCCAAAAAATACTTAGAGTTCTACGATGGCACCATTCCACCGAATGCTCGAAACCACGAGAGTTGTTCTTTAAGATAGAAGAAACATCTTCATCCAAGTTTGAATAAATGGCATCAAGCACTGTTAGCATGCACAATTAGACATGAAAGTGGCACCGATTACTATGACAAAGTTAGTGTTTTCACAGTTTATTTTAAATGTTTAATTATATTACATTTAATTTTATAAATTAATTTCCTTTAATTTTTGTAATTATATTTTCTAGGTACGCCAAGCGGAGGAATTGTATCTGGAGGGTAGCTCAAAACCCTTTCAGTTTCACGGTACGGTTGTTGGGAAATTTGTAAAGGATAGGTGTTGTTTGAAGATCCACCTCAACATAGAGTAGATTCTACGCCAGTGTTTGGAACTGCATCCCCAGCTGTAGATATGGATGAAGATGGATCTCTTACCATTCAACAAACAAGGGTAGAAAATCCATCTCCGAACGAAGGTTCCTTACCTAGGGCTATGGGTCGAAACAAGGCCCGAATGTTGAAGGAAAGGGCAAGGCAAATGATAATTACGCTGCTCAACAGGAAGTGGCGGCCACATTGCTATTGCTGGTGGAGCAAAATGCCATTGTCATGGAAGAAAGGAATCTTAGGCACAAATACAAGAAGAGTTGGTTTATAAGAATATGGAAATGAACACTACAAATTACACTCTAATGAGTATGGCCTATTTTGATAGGAAAAAAAAAAGAAATTATGACCCGGCAGTAGTTGTTTACCTCTGACTATACTCTTACAATGACGGATGATGAAGATGGTGTTGATTATGGATATTAAATTTAAGTTTTTGTAGTTTTTAAATTTAAGTTAATGTTGTTTTAAAATTTAATTTGTAGTTTTTAAATATAAGTTGTAGTTTTTAAATTTAAGTTATTGTTATTTTTAAATTTAAATAATAAACTATATTTGGCCCTATGACTCTCGGTTGGAGACGATTTTTTGTGACATGGCTAAAACGAGCCCTATAGCCCTTTGGCCCTTTGTTGGAGATGGAGACAAATATAGTCATGTATTGTTTATTAAAATATTAATATTTTGGAAGACTAGAGGGCTAAAACTAGTTATCTGACCAGCTCTTGGTTAGAGATGGCCTTAACACGTTTGAATGTCTTATAGATACAACACGGATTTATATTTTTCTGTTCAAGCAATGAATTAGCGCAGCCATGGACACTATGCAGGCCCTTTTTAATCATTGTCCAAGAGGTTACCACCTGGTGAAGTTATGGATCCATGACATGCACCCATACTCTTTTGGAGTTTTATATATATTCTTTTGTGTCTGTAGCTCGGCCGAGACAAGAAAAGAACAATATCTTTTTTTCCGAGATTACGAATTAGATTTGTCTGCTTCACCCTCGTGAACCAACCTAACACGGAACAAAGCAAAAGTGCTCATAAATTAATACTGAACAATCATCATCTCAGTCCACATTAGCTTATATATATGATGCTACGCCTAACACTAAATTTAGTGGTATATCAATTCCAGTTTTTCCATTTTGATGATATAATTTAACCATTATCTAAAGTCCGGACATATTGGTTCAATATATTGGTGAGAAGGCTACATATACCTAATTAATTATCATCGTCGTCATCAATCACACAACCCTAAAGCTAGCCCTTTCAAGTTCTCCAGCAGATCATTGGCGCAAATGCAGAACTGACTGTTATTATTTTTGGATAAAATTAACAAAGCATAAAAAGAAGGGGACTGATCATTGATCAAGGCAAGTACTTTTGGTAGTTGGTACGAGATTATAGGAACATAAACAACATGATTATGATCCCGATGTTTGTTAGTTGTTTTGATCATAATTGCATCAACGATTCAACGGGCAACAAGAAGTGAAATAGCTAGATACAATTATTTGTAACATCTCACGACTCTCATTTTGTAGATATTATATTCACGAGATTCATATAAGTGATTTTAATATATTAATTAGAAAGACAGTAGACATGAGTTATTGGGCTAGGATTAGCTTAGTGATGAAGGTGAGAATAAAATTATTAGTAGAAATAGTATACTGGATCCAGAGAATTCGAAATTCTTCAATATCTTTATAAAAAAAAATAAAAAATAGACATAATTGTAAGTTAATAATTGAGGTGATACAAATATTTTTATTCAAAAGGTTTTCTAAAGTCTGGAAATGCATATCGTTGAAGCGCTCTAAATATTGACACTAGCTAAGTAGCTAGTATATTTGTCTGCCTATGAAGGTCTTACTCATGCAATTAGGTTTGTTTTGCTTTTGTTTTGTCACTTTGTTTTTAAGGTACTGTTTTTATTAACCAATTAGGGCAGTGGGGCAGTGGGCACAGCAAACTTTAATATGTCAAAATCATAAGAAATAGTCCTGCAGTACTTCCGAAAATATCATTGTCAGATTACGCAAAATAAATGAACAGTCGGTTTGTAAGAGTTGGAAAGCATCACTTCTCCTTTTATTTCTTGCTTTCTTTAGCATTAAAGATTTGCTTTTCTTTCTCTTTATTTATTTATTTAATAAAAACGTCAGATATTCATTAAAATGACGAAAAAATACGTACAAGAAGATAAAATATAATAAAAAAGTAAACCTCTGAAAAAAAAAATCATTACTAAACAAAAAAATGAAAACATGTAGTCACTCAATAAAACTATCCTCAATCAAAATGTTTGCTATTATGTCCGGTGGTTCCTTAGATCCTTTATTTCTTTGATTCTTTCTTATTAGATGGTAGACTACAACTTATAAAGTTGAATACGTCAAGAGAGCATTGAAATAATTTGAAATGGAAAACTTTCTCCATACATCTCACATCTTTTCAGCCAGGTTTCTTTTGACATGTCAAATTGTCACAAAGATTGAATTAGGGATGTTAATGGTTATCGACTCAGAATTTTCTAGTATGTTTTCAGCTATCTTAATTTCAAAACATCAAATTTTTTACTGTGTTAAAAATGTAATAACCAAATCTAACGATCAATAATCTCAATATGTAGGATACACTATAATAAAACTTTCGCATGGACCCATATGCTAATAGAAAAATTCGAATACCAAAACTTCTAGCAGGCCATAAATGAGAACGAAAATAAGATCTTTTCTTTTCCTTTTCATATATTAGCATAACAACATAATACAAAAGAATCAGTAAAAACTTAAATACAAGTTAAGCCAAAAGAATCATGTTTGGTGCAAGGATTCATGAACTAATTTAATTAATATAGCAACCATGAGGGTTTATGTTCCTATAATCAAGAACTACTTAGGGCACATTCATTAATTATTGTTATTACTATTAGAAAAAGCAACGGATCGAGAACTAATTAGGGCACATTCACACCAAGAAATATGTCGAATTTGATCATACATCTCAGTTCCAATCACATCCCATTCGACCGGTCTACCAACTTTTCTGAAATTCTTAGTGTGATCAAATAGCATCATACTCACATTAAACCATATTATTAATTATGATCGACAAATTGTCCATACATAACAATGACATTACGTGCAAAGTTAACCTAGCTAGATTTGTCATTGGAAAAGACGCAAAAAAATAAAGATCCTTCAAATGATGAGATGACTAGCTAAAAACGCAGAATTATAATATGTACAAATTAATATTCGTAAATAAGAGACAGAAATGAATTAACCTTTACAGTTAAATTTCATCCTGTACAAATTAATTCGAAATATGCATGTTACTTCATAATAAAAAGGCTAGCTAGTGACAATCTAGCCTTAATTAATTTGGCAGCAGACTAGCAAGCTGTAGATGGATGAGTACTGTAGGGGTTGAAGATCAAGTGAGTCTTATTCGATCCGATTAAGAATGGACTCGTCGATGACCCGTTGTTATGATTATGATTACGATGATCGCCGCCGTTGCAGATTTTCTCACAGGAGGGACACATGGTGAGAGTGGCAGTTGGAAACTGCATGTAAAAGGGTGCTGCTGCTGTTGCTGTTTGTTTCATTGATTTGAGCTCTTGCAGCTCCTTGTGCAGCCTTCTGTTCTCTTCTTTCAATGTTTCACAACATTGCTTCAATAACTCGAAATCTGCTTCTGTTTGCTTCAGCTTGGTCCTACAAAATTGTAATAAATTAAGAATATTATATTTTTGGAGACTCTCATATGAGCAAGCATCAAACATGGACATCCTGAAAAATTTGAATACAAATAATAAGAATAATGAAGTATTGAACTCGATGTTCATGTAAGCTGAACTGAAGATCTCTTACTTACAAGTAAGAATATAATACTTAGCACATTTTGTAAATTAAAGTAAAAAAATTATACCTGGCCCTCCTGTTTTGGAACCAGACTTCAACTTGTCGCGGGCGTAGATTTAGCTTTCTTGCTAGTTCTTGCTTTTGTTTCTGATTTATCCAAGAAAAAAATAAAATAAAAAGAAAAACTTTAATTATTTAAACTTTAATTTGTTAATGAACGATAATCTAATTAAACACAAGCTTATAATAACATGAAGACAAATAAATAAACAAAGATGGCTTATGGAAAAATATAATTACTGGATTGAGAGTAGTGTGTTCTCTGAAGTTGTCTTCTAAAGTGGAAGATTGTTCTTTTGTAAGTCTGAGTTTCTTTCTGGGACTGCCCTCATGATCTTGATCTTGATCATATAATTCATCGCTTACTCTTGATGAAGTAGTGATATTCACTACTCTCTCTTCTTCTCCCTCTATCTCTTCAACACCTATATCTCTGTCCCTCTTGAAACTAGATGAGTTGGAGAACGACGAAACGGCGCCGCTGCAGGGAGAAGAGACCTGTTCTTTTGCTTGCACATGTACTACTTGGTGCAAATGATCATCTGATTCGGCGGCCTCAATCTTCGAATCCCCGGATGATGGACCTAGGGTTAGAGCCGGCAATAGGTGATCGTATTTCAACTGTATTTTCTTCTTCTTTTGGTGATCGAGATCGAAAGCCTGCAAATTTGTATGATGATCTGGATTAGCTTGACAACCTAGGCTGAGTCCAAGGCCAGTGTTACAAGCTTCATGATCAAAACCCATCTCTGTGAAATTACTAAATGTTGTTATGGAGTAGCAAATCACAAAAATATTTATAAAAAGGTGCGAGTGTGGAGGCAAAAGAAGATTGTAATTTTTTTTTAAGGAGGGAGTTGGAGTAGGAGGGATGTGGGGATCGGATTATTTAAGCAAAGGAAGGAAGGAAAGTGAATGACGAATATGGTTTTGTGGAATTATAACAATTCGATCGACCCCATGTCTCTTTGTCCTCATAGGTTGACTAATATCACAAACAAATTCTCTAATACTCTAATGTCTATATATGTCTCTATACAATTGATGTGTGTAGAAGGCATATGAAGCTAATTAAGCTAGTCTCTGTGTCTGCGTGTATGCGTGTAAGCATGCGTGGAACCACATGGAATGTGGGTGTACACAAGAACGCATAATAAAGAGTGATGAAGAGAATGATGATTCGGCACTTTTTACCTTTTTTCTTTCCACTTTTTGATCTACTGGATTTTCACTTTATATTATACGAAAAACTATTCTATTCTACAGTTTTTGGAGAGTGCTTGAGAGAGAGAGATTCTTTAGGTACGTATATACCTCCGATCATTTCTACGTTAATACATAATAGATTTAGTGTGAAAAAAACTGTCCACCGTTATTGCGTGTGATTCATATATGTATAGTTGACAATTGTTCACATAACACATGAGATATATATTTATTTGTTTAATGATTTATGTCTTTATTTATAAGAAGAAGTTTCAAATTTAATTTATTAATATTAATTATTTTTTCTCTCTGTTTTATAATCTTCGTAGTTTTTTTTTTGTTTTTGTTTTTTTGTGTGTGTGATGAATTTAATGAAGCAATCCAACGGAGACAACATTTATTAGAGTCTGATGAAGACCAAATCCGTTGTGTTAACCTGCATGTAGACATCGCAGACCACCGAAATGCCTCTCTGAATACCACAATCCCTTGTGTTTCTGCTTGTAGACTGTAGAAGGCTAGGATTTCTTCATAAAACTAACGACAACATGAGGAGTTGTTTCAATATAAAATTAATTAGCTATATAAGTCGTCCAACTTACATCTAAGCACATGTAAAATCCTTCATTTCTCGACTTGAGTTTCACTCTCAACACGTATAGACTTTTAGATACTAACCAAATCTGAACTCCTTTTTAGCTAGGGTTTTTCCTTGGCAACGATGAAAGCTTGATTGTTTCTTCGAATTTTATTTTGAATACTTATTCGATAATTCAACCACTTACCTTAAACTAATTAACAAAAATGGAAATTTAACATGATAATCAGAAAGGAAAAACCAATTATTACATGTTAATTATCACCTTGCCGAGCTATCTGACTTTTTAGGTAGAAACTTTAAGAGCATCTTTAGGTAGTGATGGAAATTAAATGATGCCATTTGTACGATTAATCCACCGACGAATCTACAAATTCATTGCAACTTTTGTGCGAGTTATGATTAAAACTCTCATATAGTCTTTGATGAGATGTAACCGTCAGGGTGATCGATGCACCTTTTTTTCTTTCTTGTCTCTTTTTTCTTTGGTCTAGCACTGATTAACAGTGACTTTGTTCACGAAATAGTTCTTCATGACATGGACATAACATGAATAACGAAAGTTAGTTAGATGGCATAAAGATTAGAGATAGGATTATCGTTATCCTGGCGAGGTATCCTTCATTTACAAGTTTCTAGTGCGGTTGAGATGATACAGATACATTGACTTTGAAACAGTTTTGCCAATAAAAAGAATATAATTGGTATAAAAGATGATTGGGAATAATTGGGTAATTAAGATTAAACAGATTTATTCCTTAATCCATCATCATTAACCTACACTTCAAGGTTTAAAATTCAAAGTAAAGGAAAAAGAGCAGGGTTACAAACGACAAAGAATCCCTAGATTAGCTAATATTACACTAATCTAATTGTGAAACGAATCATATAATGTTATGACGCACAAATTTGACTGTTGTCATCTTTAACTGTGTTGTATTGTTATTGTCTATTCAGGGACAATTCATGCCGTGTTTTGTAAGAATTAAGTACATAAATAATGTGTGACACGTGGATAAATAATATCCGTTATAATTAAGGATTGTGAACCAAATTATTCTCGTTCCTATTAGCAAGTGTGAACTAGAGGAAAGGCGGCAATGGATAGACAAGGAGACCCCACCAATGATTTTGCATGATGGGGCATTTGAATCGATTCTAATGGAAGAAAATAATTGTAGTTTAATTTTGGAGATGGAGCCAGAACTCAGAAGACCTAAAAAGGACTGTAGAGTAGAAACTAAAAAGAAATTGGCATCGCAATGATGGAATGGATGTGATGAGAGCAATCTGTAAGGGTGGGGGGTGGTGTTGGAGATAAGGTTTCATCAGATGCGTTCCGGGCTTTAAGGCCAGCCGACCAGAGAGCGTGTATGATTGTGCTAGGTGTTTGGCTTTTCCACATCGTCCCTCCTTTCTTTCCCATATCCAACCGTCCATGTCAAATAACAAGAAGCCACCACTTTTGTATGTATATATTTCTCAACTACGTAAAATCACAAGCCACATCTACACTTTTAAGCATATTATTAACTAGTGTTATTACTAATCATTTTATTTTCAATATTAAAGAGCAATAATAAGATCTGTTTGGGCTACGAACTATCCTTTTGTCTATTGATATTTGTCTCAACTTAATTAAATGAGGTATAATTCGATCCATATGGTTGGAAAACAATAATATATTTATGGTGACCTCGATTTTCAGTTGTGTGATAACAGTAACTTGTTTTCTAGCGTTACGAATACATTGTAAAAGAAAATTTAGTTGACACTGTCAATTTAAAAAGCAGTAGTGTTTATGATTGTCAAATCTGTTTGAGATAATTGGGGAATAAATTCGAAATAGGATGGGACAACAAGAGTCTAGTCATAGCAACATAAGCTTCGTTGATTTTTCATGATAAATGAGAGCAGGAGAGCATCAGCAAGGCACCGACCTTTCCGAAAGCAAAGCCTTTACTTACCCCAATGGGATTGTCTTTCAGTTTGTGGTATATATTGATTTCTATTTGTGTGGGACTAATTAAATTTTTAGATTGGAGCATCTATATCATTTGGCCCCAGAAATAGAGATAGAGACCATGTCATGAGCAGCTCCCACCTCACCTTCCATGAATGCGACTGCTTCTCAATCATGCTTCAAAAAACTTTGTAACAGAATATCTCTCAAGTAAAAGTTTTTACATGAAGTGTTTGCGTTCGCCTCCGGGATGCGTCTTATTGTTCATTTAATTGTGATTGACGTAATTTAATTGTATAAATGTCATTGAATAGTTCTTTACTGATTAAATGAAATGGAATTGCCACTTAGTACTATAGTCTAGTAATATTCTTTTACACTTAGTACTATGGTTTAGTAGTATTCCTCTACATTTGTAAGTGAGAAATTTTAAGTTCAATTATCACCAAAGGCAGATTTGAACCACATTATTATAGCTTACCCATTGTGAACAGTAGCAGAGCTATAATGGGTGCATTGATGCACTTGACCTTAATAACTCAATATTTTTCCCTTTGTTTTTTTCGTCTTCATCCCTATAATTAGTTTAGAAAAGTAATATTGGAGGTGAGCATTAGTTTTTTTTTTTCCCTAACTGACTCCATTCCCAACTAGCTCATCTCATGCCGGTCTCCCCTTTATAGAAACAGCTATTTCTTCCTTCTATTTTCTTCTTCGATTCCTCTATCTTTCTTCTTCTTGAGCTCAAAATAAAATCTCAATTAAACACAATATTCGAGCTAATTTTTTGATAATTTATTTGATCCTAGTGTTAATCTCATTTTGAATATTGTAAGAACTAAGTAAGAGTGTACAACTTGCTTACTTTCATTAAGGATTGTTTTCACCTTTGATGAAAGATCTCCCCTGTTCTTCTTTGCTGTGTGTTTAACTCATGATATTGGTGTATAATACGATTTTTTTTTGGAATATTTGTACCCCTTTTTGAATAAGAGAATATAATGAAAGTATGATCAATTTTTGGAACGCTTATTTATTATGACTCTATTGTTATAAAATTCTAACTCCGTCACTAATTGTGAAACTTAACCCACTCTTCCACCATTTAGTATAGATAATATATCGTTTGTTTAAAAAAATTGAATGCAGTTTTCAAATCTTCATATTAAAATGAAGATTGCCTTCTTAATGGGTTCCTATAATGGGTGCTAGGGGTTTGGTGTCGAGGATGGGTTGACTTTGGATTTCTTGCAGCATGAGATGAACCCCACCTAGGTCCACACCACGTAGCAAGTACATAACCCATATCATATATGTGCAATGTTGTTCCATCTAACAAGACTTGTCGTGTTAAAATTGAAGATATATTGATGAACATATCTTGCGAAACTGGCCAAAAGTTTGGTTAAATTTGATTCCTAATAATACAAAATTGTTTATAACTAGCTCTACTTCAATAATGCTACTCCAATAAAGGCTCTCTAGTATTAACTAATATTGAATATTAAATTATTTATTCCATAAAACTGGATTATTTAGAGCATATTTTGTACTCTACTTGAATCCAACTTTTTAAACTCAAAAACAATTTTCAAGTTTTAGGCCTTAAAAACTTGTTGGGTATGACTATTTAAAAAAAAAAAAAAACTAAACTCAAGACTAACTCAAAAATATAATCTACTCTCCAAAAATATAAAAAGTGAGTTTTTAGAGTTTTTAAACTTAAACTCATTCATTTGTTTTCTCTCCCTCCTCCCCTCTCACTCCAAATCTATCTCTCTTTCTTTTCTTCTTTCTCTCTCCTTTTTTTTTTATAACCTTTTTAATCTCTCATCCAATCCGTTCTATTCATTATCTTGGTTCTTTCTCTCACTTCTCTTCCTCTCTATCTCGTCCGATCCTCTCTCTTCTTTCTCTTTCCTTCAATCATCTCTTACTTTCTTTCCTCTTCTCTCCTCTTTCTCCCTCTCCTGCGACCCCCTCTATTTAGATCTCTTTGTCTAGTTTAAGTCGTAAGATTTAAAATTTTAAATTGCAAACCAATCAAATTTTTGAGTTTTAAAGAAAATTGTTTTCAAGAAATGTTCTTAAAAAATGTTTTGAGAAATGATAAAAATGTTCAAATATGATACCAAATAGGCCCTTAAGGAAAAGCGAAAAAGTAAACCAAAGTTCAGCAAAACTTATTTCTCTCCCTTGACTGGCCAAGAGTGACTAACAAACGTTTAGAAAGACAAAATGACTTGCCATATAGCTAACATCAAGGGCGGATTCACATACATAGAGGGAAATCCAACCTTCACTAGGTTGGGCTATAGCCCAAAAGAGATTTATAAGAAAAATGTGTTACCTAGGTTACTTGGTTAGGTATAGTTTTCTTCTCCTTTCACACAACCTTCATTCCTCTTTAACTTCTCTAGCCCTTTTCTATTCCCTCAACGCCTAACTTCAATGAGTTTATCCTTGCTCATTTAACATCCAAGGACGTAAGCGACCACCCGATTTTAACATCCTGGATCTGTCCCTGCACATACAATCTTAAGTTGGTCGCGGCCCCCCAAGTTCTAGCATACCCATTTAAGTCTACACATAACCTAGAAGACTATATGAAATTATGCTGAAATTTCTCAGCGTAGGCCAACTCTGTCTAGATTTTACAACTTTGAAATGAAATACTAGATGGATGATGGATCCACATAGTTTGGGCCTTTGGACTTCAATGCCAAATCCGGTTCACCCAAAAACCAAACATTCATTGGGTTTTTGGTCCCAAAATCAAAGCCCAGCCCAAAATAATTGATTTAATTAATTATATTTTAATCAGCTGAAGGGCGTGTCTGGCGGGTATTCAGCATATGGCGGGCATCCCACGCCATAACAGCAAAGGTGTCGATTGACAATCCATGGAATTTGATCACTGATCCGAAGCCAAAGCCTCGTTCTTGTCACCAAAAGCAAAAGCCAAAAGCCAAAAGCAATTTCGGATCAAAACCTTCAGAAAAAGCTCTGCAATCTGCATGCCCTAGCTGAGAAGAAGAAGAGGAGAGATCAGAGATGACAATTTCCAATTCTACCCTCTCAATTGCTCTCCCATTCCCAACAACTCCCAGTTCATCCTGCTCGTCTCAGTCCCTCAAGGCATGCAATTGCAGTAATCGCACTACTTTGTGTAACATCTTGTCTTCTTTTTGCCGTATTTTTTCCCCAGATTATAAATACCCATTAATTAATTAATTAATAGCTTTGCATGCGTTTGATGATGCAGCAGCAGCTTCTACTCGCGCCTTCTTGGCTTCGGTCGGCGGCTCCGATTGCCACCTCCACCACAAGCCTCAGAGCCGTCACTCCATCTGGTGTCGCTCATGAGTACGTACGGACCACCTCTCATTCAGTACCAAAACTTGCACTGTTTGATTAATTACACTACGTGGTCCTTCTACTTATCATAAAGTTGCCAAATTTTGTTTCGAAAAGAACAGTCAAACCTCTGAATTGCCTGATACAACATGGGACACGCTCGGATTCAACAAACCCATGTCGACAGATTACATGTTTGTTATGAACAGTTCCAAAGATGGAGACTTTATGGATGGCGGGTTACAACGTTTCGAAAAAATTGAGTTCAACCCAGCTGCCTGTGTTTTGAACTATGGACAGGTTTGTCCTCAGTCCTCTGCTCCGATTATGTAATACCCCTTATTTTATTAGACCTCGGTTTTTGATTTCTGGGCCTGCTTTAAAATTAAGCTAGTAAATTTGAAATAACACTTCGAAAACAATAAGTTTTATACAGAATTGGGGAATTTGTTTCCCTAAAAGTATTGCGTTTGAAGTGTTTTTCTAGAAAAAGCGCTTATGTGAATTTTGGCATCATTAGCATCTTGATATTTATGTGTTTTACATTGTCATTGTATTAGGACTATGCATTTATCTTCAAAATCAAAGTTTTTGAAAAGAATTTCACTTTCTTTTATGTCAAGGGAATAATTGAAGAATTGAAAGCATACAAGAAACATGACGGTTCTTTATTACTATTTCACCTAGAGGAACATGGGTTGCGGATGAGGACGGGCGCAGAGCGCCTGTGTATGCCTTCACCAACTGTTGAGCAGTTTGTGGAAGGTATAAAAGCTACTGTCTTGGCAAATCGACGTTGGGTAATGTTACACCATGTTTTGTTCTTAAGAGAAGTCCTTTTTTCTGTAGCATGTTCTAATTATGGTGCTCAGTGCATCACTACAGATTCCCCCACGGAGTAAAGGCTTTCTTCATATTCGACCACTACTTATTGGGAATGGGCCTGTTCTTAGTCTTACACCAGCTCCAGAATTCACCTTTCTGATTTATGTTTCTCCAATGGGGAACTATTTTGAGGTAAACGTTTTGTGATTTTTCCCCTTTCGAAGAGGATTTAATTCAATTGTAGTTTCCATTCTCTGATGGCAACAGGGGGGCTTGCAACCAATCAATTTGGTGGTAGAAAATGAAATCCATCGCGCAGTCCGTGGTGGAGCTGGAAGTGTGAAAGCCATAGGAAATTATAGTGCTGTAAGTGCTAATTACCACATGTTCACATTGCGGTTGATGGCTGTTTACGTTATTAGATATTTTTCTTCCTATTGCTGCGTTGTGGTCAATTTGCATTCTCAGTGTTAACAAATCACCTAGAAACTACACTTGATTTCCATAAATCTTGCGCTGGGTTCATATTATTTTCTGTAGTCATGGTCTCGTAGATGCACTTCAACTTGTCAAAGACTGATATGAAACCTGTGAATTATTTGAATAGATTTTGAAGGCACAGGTGGACGCTAAAACAAATGGTTTCTCTGATGTTTTGTACCTTGATTCTGTTCACAACAGATACATTGAAGAGACTTCGACTGCTAACATTTTTCTAGTGAAGGTATTATTGAAGCTCTAGCGTTTTGGTTATCAAGAAAAAAATGGTTGTCTGATTCTGAGGCTATGAAAGTTTTACTTACAGGATAATGTAATCTCCACCCCGGCACTGCACGAAGGGACCATTTTGCCTGGCATTACCCGCAACTCTGTAATTGAAATTGCTCGCATCGAAGGGTACCAGGCATGTGTTTGGGCATCCTCCAGTTGCAAACTGGTTTTATACTTGGCGGTAAACCTTTTTAACATGATTTTATGAGTTTCGAACTCCGCTACTTCCCTAGGATTGTCAAATATATCAGATTACTCGTTGAGATCCTCACATCGAATACATGACAGGTTGAGGAACGCCTTGTGTCGTTTGAGGAATTGTTTGAAGCCGATGAAGTATTTTGTACTGGAAATGCTGTCTTAACACCCGTGCGCAGCATAACTTACCTCGATAAAAGGTGATTTACTTCTTGTCTTACAAAGTGTAATGTGCTCATAATTTATGTATGATGATTATGCTACTAGAGCTGAGTTAATACTTCTTTTTTCAGGGTGTCTTACCTTGAAACTGGCCCCGGTGTTGTCGTGTCTCAGGAACTGCACCGGGCGCTTTCAAATATACAGATGGGTCTTACAGAATTCGGCGGGACAGTAAACTTGAAGTAGGAAGGATCCATCATCGACGCAAAAACTAGGCAAGTTTGTAGAACATATAGACGACGTAGTTTGTTCACCAAATGTATATGTCCAACATAATCCATGGACGATTTGAACTCGGAATCTCTTCCTAACATAATAAACAAATATATTATCACATCAATAGCTACTCAATAATGTATTTCGACTTTGATAAATTTCGTATTAAGATTTTATAAATGTTGACACATATGAGATGCAATGGAGTACTCACTATTTGCCTTCGTAAATAAAAAGCATTTATTATTATTATTATTTTTTTTTTTTTATAGGTTGTCGGCGGGCCATAAGTTCAAAAAAAATACAAAAGATTACATAAAAATATCATGAGGTTATGAAACCTGGAACTCTAATTATATCTACACGACAATGTTGAAAAGACAGCAGAACAAGGTGAGTCCGCCATGTTCTTATCCACTCAATAATTAGGTTTATTTTATTTTATTTTTTTATGTAGTGGTCCGACCTGGCGTCCTCAGCGTTCCAAACTTTTTGTCATGCATAGTTATCTCCATCTCTGTTTTTATTAAGTTATTTTAAGGTTTATCAAACTTGTGATAAACGAGTGACTCACTTATTTAGAGTTCAAAGGCTTACAGAGTAGTAAGTACGTTTTTCAAATTTTCGTTTTAATAGATTTTTACAAAAATTCATTCAAATTAAAAGCAGTTTAGTTTTTTTTATAGTAAAATTAAATGCAATTGTATGTGGTTCAATATTATAATGAATAAAGTGTTGATTTTACTCATGCGTCTCAGATTCGAAACTCTTCCCTCTCTTAAATTATTGTAATAATTTCAAATCATTCAAAATATTACAAATAAAAAAAATAATGTAATTAGTAACCTAATCTGACGCTAACTTATTATATCATTTTCACAGAATAATTTTATAATCAGACCTGTTCATTATTTAGGGTTAGTTTGGACGTTCTTTTAAAGCCAGGTTTTTGTGAAATTGTTTTTCAAACCAATCTTTAGTAAAATGGAAGTGAAGCAAATAACTGGTGCATCTTGCACGAAATACATTAAGTTTTTTTAAACTCAAAAATATATTTTCTAAAAACGTTTTTAATCATTTCAAAAATAGCTTCAAATAAACTCTAAGTCATTAATATAACTACATATAAAAAGAGCCTACAAATATAACAAGTACGGGTACGTGCTCTGCTCAGGATCCCCCATCCTTGAGCAATTTGGCTCTTTCCACCCGCTTTTCTCTCATCTCACTTGGCGCGATATAAATGTGACCCATCGCCCATCCTTCTCCCCATGTTTGATACTTTCTCTTCGTATCCCTATCCCACCTCTCTCTCCTCACACCACCCCCCTTCTCCCATCTCTTGCTCAAATTCTAGATTCGCGTTCTGGGTTGTGAGATTTCGAGGCAGACAGAGAGACAACACCAACCATGATTCAAAGGACGATAAGGTTTCATAAGTTGGTTCGATCTCTTGGAGTTGCTTCTTCATTATCTCCGTCGTCCAAGGTTAATCATTCTTTCACCTCCTCTGTTTTCGATTTCCCCTGTTTTAGATTCCATGTTTTATTACCTTGTCGCATAATCTTACTAATTTATCCATTTCATGACACACATATCTGTTAATTAATACCGTACTATAGTTCCATGAATATCAACTATGTCGTCTGCTCGTTTTATGAGACACGAATTGGAACACGATTCATATAACAACATGGGAATTAGTAACACCACATTTCATACAAACTTTCTCCTACAGGAGAATCATGATTACGATAACACAATTCAGGTGTTTCGTTGGTGTCTAACTTCCGAACATGCGTGTTGATTTCATTCGAGAAAAATGTTGAAGAGACATTATATTACCTCTAATTGTATGGTGGATCTTACTTCTGTCAGACAAGTGACTACCGACACATGTTTCACGTTATCTAAACAGTCGTATATATTACATTGCATGTTTCACGTGTTTAAGCTTTCCTGATATCTATTTTCTCGTGTTAATTAGAATCTTGGAGTTTACCGTTGCTTCGGAACTGTAGCTTCATCGAATGCAGAACAAGCATGTGATCCATTTGAATACAGGTATGATTAGGAATGGCTTCAAAATTTGGCAGCTTGAAACTTTCTTGTATTCCACGTTATCATTCATATATAAATGCTTGAAGTAATTCGAAGATATTATATTATAAGCAAATAGCTTATTGATTAGTAGCTACTATGAACTAAAAGAATTGAAAATCACATGCTCGAACACATAGCGTCTTCGTATTTTTCTTTCAGAACCTTCGGTTGTCAATTTGATTGATTATCTTAACATTCACTGCTGTGGGAATATGCATATAAGCGTTGGTGGGGGGTGGTTAATTGGCATGTTTTTTGATGTTTTCTGCATAATTTGTGCAGCTATGATCTTGATAAGCATGAGTATGCTGATGTGGATTGGGATAATCTCGGGTTTGGTTTAGTGCAAACTGATTACATGTACGTTATGAAATGTTCCAACGACGGGAAATTTGAACAAGGCCAACTCAGTCGTTACGGAAATATTGAACTTAACCCTGCTGCTGGAGTTTTAAATTATGGACAGGTAAGATTTTTCAATCGAAATTGTTTAAAACACGCTCGAGGTATATAGGCTTAAGTAGAATTTTTGTTTTGGGGAAAACATAATTAGATTTCGGGAAGTTGAAAAGGCTGGCTTAATGTAAACAGGCAATATATGAAGGCACAAAAGCACACAGGAAGAAAGATGGGAATCTCCTTCTCTTTCGTCCAGACCAGAACGCAATGCGGATGAAGATTGGCGCAGAAAGAATGTGCATGCCCTCACTGCCGGTTGATCAATTCATTGATGCCGTGAAGCAAACTGCTCAAGCAAACAAGCGTTGGGTAATTGCTATCGGAAACTTGATTTATTTGTTTCGAGTTAAATATCTTCCTGGAGTATGGAATTTGTGTACAAATTATTTACAAGTTTACATATCTGTGCCGTGATGAAATACAGGTTCCTCCTCCAGGCAAAGGGTCTTTGTATATTAGGCCTCTACTTCTAGGAAGTGGCCCCATATTAGGCTTGGCACCGTCACCTGAGTACACATTCCTTATATATGCTTCCCCGGTCAGAAATTATTTCAAGGTTAGCAATACACTTTTCACGCAGACGCGAGCATTATGTATGTTAATTATAGTAAGATTTATATACTTATTATTGTTTTAATAGGAGGGCTCTGCACCCTTGAACATATATGTCGAGGAGGAGTATGATCGTGCCTCTCGTGGCGGAGCTGGAGGTGTCAAAACCATTACCAATTATGCCCCGGTAAGCAGAACAATTACGACTATTTTGAATTAGGGTTTTCATGTGTTACTAACTTTATAACTTATAACCTGTACTGGATATATGTAGGTATTGAAGGCACTAACCAGAGCAAAAAGCAGGGGATTTTCGGATGTTCTATATCTCGATTCAGTACATAACAAAAATCTGGAGGAGGTATCTTCTTGCAACATTTTCATTCTGAAAGGCAACGTGATTTCAACTCCTCCCACATCGGGGACTATTCTTTCGGGAGTTACTCGAAGAAGTATTATTGAAATTGCTCGTGATCATGGTTACCAGGTGATTTTCCATGCCAGTAGATTACACCATTTCTTATCTCCCTCATGGACTGATTCTGACACTGCCCTTCAAATGCGTTTAGGTTGAGGAACGAGTTATTCCAGTGGAGGAATTGAGTGAAGTCGATGAAGTGTTCTGCACTGGAACTGCTGTTGGTGTTGCTCCTGTGGGCAGCATTACATATCAAGGCAAAAGGTAGTAGTATCATAGGAGCATTCAAAATTCGATTATTTTATTTAGACAAGGAAGAAAGCAATATATACGTAGTTGGGCATAGCCAAAGAAAAGAATATACCGACTTTCTCTCATGTGCAGGATGGAGTACAGAACGGGAGCTGGGACTGCATGTCCACAACTTTACTCAACCCTAGTAGGAATTCAAACGGGACAGATTGAGGATAAGAAAGGCTGGATTGTGGAAATTGACTAAGCTCCTTTTAACCCACCACCACATTTCAGATTACAATTTACTGTGGATCAGTTGTAAAAAGATAAAATTACGGTCATGATCCACACTTTGCCAATTGTGCGGACTGCAGAACTCTTTCTTTTTTTGGCTTCCCAGTTTTATCAGTTTTTGTGTTCGATTTATCTTGGATTATTAATTAAAAGAAACACCATATGAATCATCAAATTTATATAAAATAAGCATTGGTCCCCATTAAAACAACACCAATATACTTTTCCAACTTCTTAAAAAAAAAAAAATATACATATATATATATATATATTATATAAAATGGATACATTTTAGAGTGGTTAAAATAGTGAAGAAAGCTTAAATGGGCACGGCCTCTAATGTGTGTTTTTGCTAGTTACAATGATAACACGCTTGGTTGAGTGGTAAGAAAAGAGGAGGGAAAAGTAAGTAAAAATTGCACGGATAAGATTCAGGAAGTTCATCATCCACTAACTTTTGCACAAACTGTTCAGATACATGCATTCTACAGCACAGAAAACATACAGGGTCAAACCCCTCTTTTCACTGACGTCGTTTCTTGCCAGGAAAGCATTGGTGTGGAAGGGGCTAAAAGCTCCAACTTCTTGCTTGCACGTTTTCGGTAAACACGAGAAGGTCCTTCTGAAGAGAGGAATGCACTGTCGAGAAACGCCACATCCTCCACTAACAGCTCCAAATTTTGCTTCATCAGCAAAAAATCAACTTCATTCTCATTGAAATGAAACATGAACCCAATTTGGATAATCTTACTCAATGTATCTGCTGCAGTGGGTTTTGCCTGTGCTAACAATCCTTGTGCGAGTTCGTCAGCAAAAGACGTAACAAATTCAAGATCATCTTTCCCATTTTCATAGCCAGATTTATCCATAAGCAACCGCTGAGAATCCTTCTCCCAAAGAACCAGCTTTAACTTTTCCACTTCCACTGATGTACTTGCAGATGGAACTAGTCTGTAACAGACTTGAATTGGTTTGTCACTCTTGTACACCGACAGCATAACCATTGATTTAGCAGCGTTTTGTCTCTCTTTCATTGACATGTTTACCTCAGGACCCGCAAGAAAACCAAGAATAATTTTGATTAAACCCCTTCCTATCAATCCGTTTCTTGCATCAACCTTTTCACAATGATCCACCGATAGCATGCTACTGACATTGCACTCAACTGAGTCAGAAACCTTTCTAACTCCAAGTAATTCATAAATTTGATGCAGCCTTCTAGGAGAAATAAGAAACTCGCTGAAACTGTTGGGAATCCACACAAACAAAGGAGCCTTGTCGAAGCTCGAGAAAATCTTTTTCAGTTGCAAGTCATCAGCAATGAACACTTCCTCTCTACTCATCAGATATATTTCTTCAACTGTGGACATTGTGGCAGGTAATCTGATCAAGTTCAGCTTCAGATTTTCTTCTACGTCTTGATTCCAGTTGTCTACAATATATTCGCAAAACGAGCTGCATTCTCTGACAGTTACTTGACACTTATCCCTCAAGGCCCAATTGTTCCATAGCTGCACGTAGTTATTGATGGTAGGATTATCGGAAACTCCAAAAGCCGAAGAAAACACGGGGAGGAGCTCTTTCTTGTAAAACTTGTCAAGACAAAACAGGCTGGAGCCGAACAGATTCTTCCGATCATGAAGTACACAATCTTGAGAATTAACCCACACACCTGTGCCCTCGGGATTAGGTATCCACACCTGAGAGTTGCATTTATCTTGAACTGTTGGACTCCACTTGAACTTGTTAAGGAAGCTATAAATCCTTCTTATTACAGCCGTTTTTGTCTGGGACAAAAGAAGTGCAGAAAGAAAAGAACAAACATCCAAAGGATCTACCTTCACGCCAATATCTCTCAACTGATTCTTGTACGCGTGAATGTTAGTTCCAAAATAAAATTCATCAATGCTTGGCACATCTGACCTCTTTAGAATACAATCCCATGTTGGATCAAAAAGAACACATTCTTCTGGAGTTTTGTAACCACTCAGGGTCTTCAAACACGTGCCTTTTGCGACATTACTGACCAAGTCACCCACTAAAGCCTCATCAAGAGAACTTGACATCAGATGCTTAATGCACTCTAGAATTGACATCATACCATCCGCACTAAGTAGTTCCCCTTCAATAGGGCTGCGGACACCCTTAGCAACAAATGATGCTCCTTGTTCAAAATCCATGATTACACCCAATATCTGCAGCTCACCCCTGAATTTATATATGTCGATACCATAATACGCGTCATCAATTAGAGGAAGATCAACAAAGAACGAGATTGACCCCCACTTGGAGCTAAAAAGAATTGATTCTCTAGGAGTCTTGTAACCATGTCGTGTTTTTAACCACTTCTCAGATGTCAACCACATCAGTTCAGGGGACGATAAAGACATAATTTGACTCAGTTCCCGGATGCAACCTAGCAGTGACATCACTGTTGAAGGAGCTAGGTTAGAAGAAGACACTAGGGAATTAAATTGGACAGCGATCATCTTAGATGCTCCAGAATCATCAACTACAACATCCAAGGCATTCAACTCCTCAACAAAATGTGTAATTGCATCCCCATAATACAGTGCATCTATGGCAGGAACCTGGAGAGCAGTGAACAAAGAACCCCATTGGGAACCAGGAAGAGCCGTTTCTGAAGGTCTTTTAAAACCCAAATTTGTCTTCATCCAAGGTTGACATTTAATCCTGTTAATTAAGCCTGCAGCCCCAGACCCCAAGCATCTGATACACTTAAGAATCAATAAACCACAACTACCAGTCATGGATGACAGATTTGATGTTAGATTCATATTCTCTGCAATCGATTTCTGCACCTCCTCAAGACCACATGCAACTCCAAGTAGCGTTAACTCAGATATGAAAGAACCTAATCTGCTTCCATAGAATGTTTCATCAACAATTGGAAGATTTGTGATTTTCAAACAGGCTTCCACTTCTATCTCAGACGGCAAAAGCATAGATCCCTTTGGAGCACTATAACCCTGATGAGTCTTCAGCCACTTCTTCTCCTTCATAACAGTCAACCAATCCTCGTCAATCACATTCCGCCCTCTACAGAAACTAATGAAATTCAACAAAGAAAATGCGCAGTCTTTGCTCATTCGAGGAGAAGCAAGAGACCTTAAGCAATTAGTAACCAGCTTCCTCACATCATCTGATCCATGCCCGACACCAAGAAATTTCAATTCATCTTGATAAAGATTGATCCGATTCATGTAAAATTCGAGGTCTATAATACAGACATCCTTCAGAACATGCTTCATCATATCAAGAACAGATTTACCTGCTTCATCTGGTAGAATGGCCTTTCTTGGAGAACTATAACCTGAGTATGTCTTCATCCACTTACCACCTCGAATGCTTTCAATGAACTTTGTCGGAAGAGATGAACCCTTAGTCCGGAGTAATCTGATCCAATCAAGCAGCAAAAAGGCCTGCTCACTAGATAGTTCATGAGATGCTTTCTCTAAAACCACATCTGGAGGCGACAACTCGGGTAAGTCCATAGCTTTACTGTGCCTTTCAATAAAATTAAGAAGCTCCTTCTCAAGCACCGAGTCTCCCAAAAACATACTACTTTTTGCGTAAGCATTCCCTATATCAACATAGTTCTGTTCAACAAATGGATTCTGGGAACCAAACAACTTCACCCATTTGCTACCTGATGCAGGGACAAGGGTAACAGTTCTCTGCATTCTGACACGGTCAGTTCCATCAATAAGCGGGAAACTTCCACAAAGATAAGAAGTCTCATAATCACTAAGGAAGGATTTCTTGTGCGCATGATAAAGGAAATTAGCAACTGTAAGTGCAAGACCTGGCTCCTTGTTTACATGATTGCAAAGAAATACAGCATAATCATATGCTGTACAAGATTTCACTCCTGCATAGTCGCAAAGCCAATTGCAGACAGATGATTTTATCCCATGCCTTGATTTTTTATTTCTGGCAACACTTCTCTGATTATCTAAAAGAGCTTTTTGTACGTTATCTGGCAAGAAATACATATTATCAGGACATCCAAACTCCATATTGCATTTGTTCAGCCATGTATGAACTTCCTTCTCCTCAGCATATTGAATCTTGGACTCCGCCTTCGCGGTTTTGGTAATTGTACACAATTGCAAATTGCCTTCCCGATTGATGTATTTAATAAGAGGTATGACCGAAATATGCTTTGACGTCATTACCTCATTATCAGCAATAAAATCAAGCAGATCAATGTAGACATCATCAGATACCATCAGAAGATTGCAGGATCTGATGCATTCTGTGTACCAATGACCACTAGCCCATACCACACCTAGAAAGTACAGAACTGCACTGTATTTTTCAAGGTCCAGTGACGAATGCAAGACCCTCTTCAATAAAGGTGAACCACTTGAAAAAGCCCCTTCACTTTTCATTTGTAGCACTAGAGCCCTAAATTTTGGCAAGATCCGAACTGCATGTTTAGGCTGCAGGAACAACCAATTCCCGCCAGAAAGCATTTGACAAGGCACTATCTGTAAACCTTCCAATTTAACTCTAATAGACTCCCTTAAGTCGTCAAATGTGGGAATCGGAGAAGCTTGAGCAGGTAAGAACTCAAATGCCTGACCAGGTGAAGGGAAGAGGGAGAGCTCTCTCACACATGACTGGAAGGCATTCATGAAGGCGGATGGCACACATTCAAGTATTCCCAAGTTCCAGACATCATCCAACAGAATAGATTCTCGTGAAGAAGCAAGAATGAAATCAGCTTGAATTACAAAGGGGAGGTTGGTGACCATTGCAGTAGGCAGGAAAGAAAATACACCAACAGACGACGTTCCCCTTCTCAGTCTTTCTCCAAATGGGAAAGCAAGGGTGATGACCCATTCCTCCACATCCATCCTTGTATTAACTCTATTGCCCGGTTTTACTGGAAATGACTCTCTCCACAAATAATACTTGCACAACTCGTCAGTATCACATTTTTTTTCTTTCACAGAAAGTTGAACAACACGTGAATTGGCTCCTTTATCACTCAAGTTCACATGCTCAGTCTCACTGAATATAGAGATTGTGGAGACATCATCAGCTTCTTGTGGATCACATCCACGTACGTATACGTGCTTTATCTTGGATAAGAACAGGAGAAGCTCTGGGTGCAGCTCTGACAGCTGCATTCTCACAGCTTCCACCTTGTCAGGCTTTAGAGGAAGAATAAACGTAGTTGTTGGCAAGATTTTGTTGAAACCATACACCTCGCATATGCTTGATAAATATGGCTTTCCAGTAACCCATTCAGGAACTATATAACCAATACCACAATCTTGATTTGGTTCTTCCATAAAACTGACCTGATATCCGTTGCTAAATATATGAGGCCGTGAACTCACAAGGAATACACTTTTAAATCCAATACCTGCAAGCAAAACCAGTATTATGAGTTCAACAGTTCACCTTCAGACCAATAGTTCAGAAGGCACTTATTGATAACTCAACTCTTATAACAAATGCATGTAAACAACTCAAACAACTAGTTCTTTTTCAGAAGAATTTAACTCTCTCTGGTTAAAATTAGAACTACATTATGCATTCAGTACACGTCGAAAGTGTGCATGTGAAGGAAACATGGTAGAAGGTCTAAATTCAGAAACTTCCTAACTCTCTGATGCAGAAAACAATTCGGAGATTCCTTCATTCTGAATTTTGATATATATTTGTACATATAGACGTCAAATGCGTGAAATTATTAGTGTATTGCATGCACAAATAAAATTAATGAAGAAACAAAAACCCAATAAAACTCAGTTGTTAATAGTTTACCTTTTTCTCCAATAAATCCCTGCCGTCTCTTTCCCTTCTTTGTGGAACGGCCTATGCTGCAAATCGAGTCCATATTCTTCCTGGAAAAGCCAACCTCGTTATTAAAAACAAGCAGAGTAGCTGGTGCTCCACTCCCAGTTATGTCTTTCTTTGTCAGCACAAATTCCAACGTTGGTTCAACTCCTTCCTTGTATTCATTGTCTTCTGCATTCTGCAAAACAAAAAATAAAAAATTAAAATCTAAGAAAAAAACAATCCCACAAATTAAAATTCACAAAAAAAAAAAAAAAACCCATAATTTGTTTTCGAATTCCATTGATGCTTTTTTTTTTGAGAAGAATTCCATTGATGCTAGTATCGAAAAGCTTGAAACTTTTTCTATTTTTTTGTTAAAAAAATAGCAAAATACCCACGAATTGTTTCCATTTTTTTCGATTTTCAAATCAAACCCCCACATATAAAAATCAACGAAAAAACAAACCCAACAATTAAAATTCGCAAAAAAATAAACCCACAAACTGTTTTCAATTTCAAGTTTCACCCACGATAGTAAGAAAAAAATTGAACTTTTTTACTTTTTCTGAAAAAAAAAAAAAAAAGAGGAAAATACCTGTATGAGCTCCATGAGAAAATGGATGTCTTTCTGGTAAAGCTCCGCAGAGAGACTAGTGACGGCATGGTGAAGATCGAGAGTTAAAGGGTTTGCTTCTTTCTTCGCTATTGAGAACTTTTTGGTCCTAATCTCTTGTATGTGAAGTTTAGCGGAACTTAAAGCTTCATTTGCGTCGTTTACCATGGTGGCCTAGTCAGCATGCAGAGGCAGAGAGAGTTTGTGCCAGACAACCTAGCAAGAAAATACAGTTTTACAAAGGTGAGAAATGCAGAAATTTAAGACAATGATCAGCCATAAGCTCAAGAGAGGAAAAGCATACCTTCCTGCTGCTAAGAAATATAAAGTTTTGGCTTTTTTTTGGTGCTCCAGCAGAAAAATGGAGAAGAAGAAAAAAAACAGAGCTTCAACTTTAGAGCAGATGGTGACAGAGTAATTAGGAGAAGGTGGTGGTTTGGTGGTATAACTTGGCTGAGGTTGCAGACAGTGGTGACAGAGTAATTAAAGGAAGGAAGATCGTGTAAATCTAAATCCTGCATGAAATTTTTTTGACAAGACAAACTGAGTCCCCCCTTTCTTCATTATTGAAAAAAAAAAGCCGGGGACTTGATAAGTCGTGTCAAATATACTCGCATCAGTACATGCATAAACCTTCTTTTCATTAATTAACTCGTTAGAGCAAATTATCGGATATGTAAAGTCTACTAGTCGCATGCACTTTATATTATTTTATTTATATTATTTATATGTTAGATTTAAAAATTCATCACGCATAAGAATATATGATAAGAATGAATCTCACATTAATAAAAGAAAAAACTTGCAGATGCTTATAAGTACGTTAACTTATTCTCTGTATTTCCTATTAGTTTATAATAAAACTTTAATATTTTTTATAATATCAAAACAAATTAGCTTACGTGTAAAGCTCAACAACCACACATTTTTCATAACTCAATTTGTCACGTAAAAAGCATATAAAAATCTAAAAGTAAAAGAGTCTCTTATTGTTATCGATTAAAGTAGAAATTTAAAACCAATTAATTTTAGAGTGACATCTCAATTTTCTTTAGCTTCTTCCCAGGCAAAGTTCTAAAAAGTACTAGACAAAGTTCTAAAAAGTACTAGACGCTAGTCGGGCGACAAGAAGAGGTCTAGCGCCTAGGCCGCTAGGTGGACTAGGTAAATTTATTATATTTCGTACAAATAAATATCAGTTTATACTTAAAATATAAAAAATTTCATCATAAACTACGAAATAGAATTACATATATATTATGAAGTATTAAAACATAGTGAAAATATAAAGAACAAACATATAATGTATGTTCATTTAAGTTTACAACAAATCTATTACAATTTATTAAAAAAATTAAAATGCAAAATGAAAGTTATCTTTTTTCTCTCTAAATGAGTTGCAACCTAAGCAGGCAGGTGCCTAAATGGGGCTGGGTGAGCTAGATGGGTGTCTAGACGATTTAGGCGGGCGCCTCAGCAGGTTTAGATGGACGCTTCATTAGGTCTAAACACAATTTCTTAATTTTCAAATACCTAAACATTAATCGGGACAAAACATCTATGCGGAGATTTTTAGAACAGTGCTCCCTGGCAAATCCAATCACTGCCATTGCAGCGGCCCTGCATGCTGAATGTTGACTTTTTTTTCTTTTTCTCACCCGAAACTCCAGAGCAAGAAAACCAAGCTCCCCCATCGTTTTGCTGGAGCGATCTCTCTATCTCCCTGAGCTTATGACTGATCGTTCATAAATTTTTATGTTAACTGGGTTTCTGCAGAATGGAGCCACACAGATGAAAAAGCCACAGCTTCTGCTTAAAGTCACATAAAAGAAATTAGGTTTAGTACTTGATAGGGAAGAAAGAAGCAAGCCCTTTAACTCTCGACCTTCACCATGCGGTCACCAGCCTCTCAGCCGAACTCCACCAGAAAGACATCCATTTTCTCGTGGAGCTCATACAGGTTTTTATATATATTAATTTTTTTGCTGCGTTTTATAAAACTCTTTTCCTGACCAACGTCAATGAAACTCGAAATTAATATGTGGGTTTTTAAACAATTTCTGGGTTTTTTGCTCTGTTTCTAAAAAAAAATTAAAAAAAAAATTCAAACTTTTCAACACTAGCATCAATGGAACTTGAAAACCAGTAGTGGGTTTCTTTTTTTGTGAATTTTGATTTGTGGGTTTGTTTTTTGGTGGATTTTAATTTGTGGGTTTTTTATTTGCAGAATGCAGAAGACAATGAATACGAAGAAGGCGTAGAACCAACGCGGGAATTTGTGATGACAAAGGAGGACATAACTGGGAGTGGAGCACCAGCCACTATATGGACTCCATCTGCAGCGTAGGCTGTTCTCCATCGGCGCGACGGCGGCGAAGCCACGAGTTTTCCGTAACAAAGAAGGGGAAGGAGGCAGCAGGGCTTTTATTGGAGAAAAAGGTAAATTAAAATTTTATTTCATTTGATTCATTTTATAGTTTTATTTTAGCTGTTTATATGTAAACATTTTGAACATGGAAATGCTATCCCTAATAGCCTTCCCATTTGTATGTGTTTACGGAGAATGCAACTAAGTAGTTAAGCGCTCGGTTGATAACCATTTGATACCACCATATCTTAAGAACAAAAAATGCAAAAACAAAAAGCGAAATGGTTATCAAACGAGCATTAAGGGTTTGAGCTTTGCAGTTTTTCCTTTTCATGAACCTGAATGTTGAATATACGTTTTTTGTGATGGACTTTATTTGTTTTTAATCAATTCTGTTGTGATGGAACTTATTGTTTATCCCAAATAAATGTTTTTGCAGAACTTTATTTTTGAGATTCTATATTTGTGTTCCTTTTCTAGCAAGCTATTTTTGTATGTTCTGTCTAGGATCTTTTGGCATTCCTTTGGCTAATTTGGTCTTGGATTTCGTTTTTCTTTTTCATTTCTGACTGAATAGTTGGGCTCTATGTGAAATTTCCATCTCTAGGAGATGACTTTTGCAATTCTTTTCATTTTTTCGTCTTAAAGATAGGTTTTCAAATTTAAACTGTATAGCCCCGTATACACGCTTGTTTTGAATGCATAATAGTAGAGTTCCCAGTCTATTCAACTCATTTTACTTTTTTGAGTTGCATGCATTCTGTATAGGAACCCAGTTATCTATTGAACTTTTGATTATCAAGTTGAACTCCCGATATCAATGTTTTCTTGCAGGAATTGGATTTTAATGTGTGTTTCTTGTGAGTTCACAGCCATGGATATTTAGCAATGGATATTGTGTCAGATTCATGAAAGAACCTGGAATATGTTGCAGCCAACTGGAATCAACATTTACGAGGTACTCTCAAGCAGAAATTGACCAAAGTACCTGCCACAATGTCTGGTGGAGAAAATACTTCTAATCCGCAGAGAGGAAGTATTCATTGCTGATGACTTGCGACTCAAGAAAGTTTTCTCAGGCTGTGAAAAATTTCCTCTGTTTGTTTGCTTTCCCAAGAGTCACAGCTTGTCTTATATTTACCCAGGAAGACTACAAGCAATCTACGAATCTCTTGGAGTTAGAAAGATTTCTGAGTCAATTGAGTGCAAAGTGAACGGCATTGAGTCGTAAGAGCAGTGGGAAAAGATTGATGCGAGGAATGGATTGATCGGGAGGGGTTTAGTCAAGACTATTCTGGCTTTTCTTGCTGGTCCTGAGGTAAATATGTCACTAAGAGACAGACACGAGGCCGCAAATTCGGTAGTTATGCTGTCACTAATGCCATCTGCAGCGACAACCGTGGAAGTGAAAAAAACAAAAGCTGGTTCTTTGGGAGACGGATTCACAGCGGCTGCTCATTGATAAATCAGGTTCCGAAGGACAAGAATTGATCTAGAGTTTCTTACTTCTTTTGCTATTGAACTCGCGCAAGAACTTTTGGCACCAGCAAAACCTACTAGAGCAGATAAATTGAGCAAGCTTATCCAAATGGGATTTATGTTTGATATTAGTGAGGGTGAAGTGGATTGTGTGCTGATGAATGAGAACTTGGGAGTTATTTGTGGAGGATGAGCAGTTTCTTAAAGCTGCATTCGTCACTTCTGGAGAACTTGGTCGGGTTTATGAAAAGAATTCTGGTACCAAGTTAGAGCAATTAGGCCCTTCCACGCCAATGCCTTTATGCAAGAAACAGCGTCAGTGAAAACAAGGGAATCGACCTTCTATTTTTATTCATGGCTTGAATTATGATCAGGTTTCGGAACCATGAAGTTTTATTTGGTTGTATTTTATTGTAATCCTCGATGTATATATGGACCTGAAGCCAGGGATTTATGACCTTTTAGAATGCTCTGTACTGTAAAATGATTACATCTGAGCAGCTTGGCCCTTGTTTGTGTAGCAGTACCTTGACCAACCCCAGGTCCAATAGAAGCAAGCCTGAAAGCCAACCCAGCAGCAATAACGGGAGCGGCGTAGTTCTCCTCTTGTATTGTGTCTTCTCTGTTACTAAAATTTTACTTTTCCTTCCTCTGTTATCAACTAGGGTAGTAGTTTTAGTACTTACTCATGATCAAGTATGAAAACATAGTAACCTGAAGAAGTAAAGAAATCTTAGTTGAATGACTTTTTAACTACGAACACAGCATAAATACCAGGTTTATGAAAGAATGGAGCCCATTAGCTTATGAATTGACTTAGGATCCGTTTGATAATTATTATGGTTTTAGTTTTTGTGTTCGAAGTGGGATGGGAGAAACGATGGAGTAGGAAAAGAAACACAAAATGAAAACTTTAAAAAAAAAAATCAAAAGCTAAAAATCATTTTAAATTGTTTTTACTTTCAAATTTTCATTTCTTCCCTTCCCTTTGACCATCTTTCTTAGGGCTGGAAAAAATTCTCTAAATTCCAAACCAAACTAAAAAAAATCTCGATCCTAAACCAAAAAAGGCCCAAACCAAAATTTTTGAATTTTCGAAAGAAAATACTGAACCGATCCCGAAATTTTGGTACGAGAATCAGTATTGTCTCTTCAATGTTACGGTAATCCCATACCGAACCGAAAATAAATATTATATATATTATAGTAGATTTAAATTGTTGCTAACTACTAGTAGCAATATAATTGGTGTAGTTTACAAGTAGTAACCATAACCCTTTTATCACCACATTTGCGGGTACAAACCTCCCACACACACTCACCCTACCTGCTTCTCAACCAGATGTGTCTATTTCTTAACACGAAATCAAAAAAATTGTATTGTTAGTTTTTGAACATATTAGGTTTGTAACTTATTTTTTTGCTTTTGGATTTGTTACTTATTTTATTTGGTTGCATGTTAATTTGACTTGGTATGAATGATTAGTATTTCAATTTGTATGAAATTTGGGAATACCGAACCATCCCTAAATACCGAAAATTGGGAATACCTAAATTTCGGTTTGGGATTGGTTTTTAAATTCCCGTCCTAAAAATTTTCGGTTTTGGATTCAGAATACTATTTTCGGTTTGGGATCCCACACCAAACCACCTCTTTCTTCATCCCTCCTCCTCCCTCATATACTTTTCTTATTTCTCAAGTGCAAAAGATAAACTAAAACGAAATGGTTATCAAATTGGCCCTTAATTATCAATTTTGTATAATAATATCGTCCATTTTGAAACATTGGTCAGGAAACTGGGAGAGTCGCCAACTTTGAATGTGAAAAATAATCCAGATTATCCTGTAACTGAACCCTTCAGAGTTTCCAAATGGGATCATATATGACTGCAATGTCGTCATTGCCATTTGTTCATGGACATGAACTTTCATCATATGTTTCGTCTAAGGTCATAGTGCAATATGCATGCATCAGCATAGGCAGCCATGCATTTATAATGGTCATCTAATCGCCTACTCAAACGGGAAAATTATATTCTAATTACACCATGTTGACCCAGAAATTAAAGGTTTGCAGAACTCTCCCGCATGATGCAAAAACTGGTGGCTTCAAGCCTTCAACCGAAGAGATTTTTCAGTGTGATCATTACATGTCATGCAGTGTTACTAAACTATCTATATTATAACAACATATTTATTTATCTATATTATAGTATTATATCTTAGATTTCTAATATATCTACACATCGTTCAAACATGTTATGATGTCAGATGATAATGTTAATTAGGTAACACTAAAGAATTACTCTTTCTTTCTCATGTGCTATTCACATGACCAATTTATCCCATGACGTATGGTAACTTGATCGAAATTCAAACATGTAATATATGGTGTAAAAGGGATCGAAATTCAAACATGTAATATGTGGTGTAAAAGGGGTTGACAACTTGGAAGGTTGGTTTGCTTTTGACAAAACAGAAACGAGAAAGAAGAAATTTGATTCAAGTTGCGTGGGAAATACAGCTATGCTGACTTGGTGACCATGGTGCCTGTTTTGCTGTTCACCAAATTAAAATATAAATACTTTTTGCTCTTGTCGAAAACAGAGAAAAGATAAGGTAAAGCCTGGAGAAGGAAGATGGGGTGAGTTAGCTGTAAAGAATATAATTTACATATGAACCTACGAGAAATTGTCAAGAAAATAATACTATTTTAATATATTGTTCAACCTCAAAAACATGTAGGTCCGTTCAAGATTGAAAATATAAAAAGACGTTTAAATGATATACGAAAAGGTAGTGATTTTCACAGTATGTTCTTTTTATTCTGCATTTATGTATCTTTTTTATCAGTTCTAAGACCGGAAAAAGCAAGAAGAATGCATGGAGAGAACGTGGCGAAAATATTTCCCAAAGTAAATAGTTGGTGCAAATTAATATATAGACTTGATAATGTAGAATCCGATGAGAGAACACAGCTTCTTTGCCTTGGTTTTATGCATGGCTGCGGGTCTGTCAAGCACTAACATCATTACATAAGAAAACCGGGAGAGAGAGAGAGAAAGAGAACGAGAGGTCAAGCAAATGACGCCAGAGATTTGACACTTTCCCCCTATAGCTACCACCACCAACTCTCATTATACATTGAATTTGATGTTTGCTTTGACCTCCAGTTACACTGGCTAATTAACTAGAGAAATGTTATTCACGTTCATATTTACGTTTTATATATATATTTTTTTTTAATTTTTGATCGTTGGATCAAAATGAATTAAAAAAGATTAATGGTAAAAAATTTACAAGAATGTGTGAGAGGTAAAAATATGTGTATATATTGCTCTTTTCATTAACTCTTATAGTAGTTGCTTTCTCTAATATAATTGGGGGAATATGTTTAATTTTTTGAGTTATATCTTTTGTAGTTTTATGAGGAAATAAGATCTGGGATATTTTTTTTATCCTTGTGGATCTTTAGGTTTCTAATTTGTTTAGTTAAGATTGTTTCATTTCTGCATGTCACGTTAGTTAGAGCGGATGTGCTCACATGATTTTGAATTCTTACCCTTGCAATTTAAATTAGTTTAAAATAAAATATTATTTGTATAATCCCATTTCCAGCTTTTAGTCAACATTGCATCTTGTTTAATTTCTTATAATTATAATTTTATGGAAAAGAATAAGAGCATTTTGTACCCTAAAATTTTCATGTTCAACAATTTTTGCCCTGAAATTTATTTTACATATGAACATACTTTTGAGAAAGTATGAATAGCATTTCTTAGGTGATTTTGCCATATATTATAAGTTGACTTGGAATTTGTATGTCTAATTACTTTTATTTTTGTTGGAGAGTATGTCATTACTAATTACAGCCTGCAAATTTAATCCCCATTAATTTGACTAGCTTAAAAAGTCTTAGTGTTAAAATAAACAACAAATGGAAAATCATTATCATGTATCTTGTAGTCAAATAATACGTAATTTCACCAAACTTGTGAAAAGTCTGAACCCTAATAACATTAATTATATTGGCCCTTTGAGAAGGGTAAGTTGGTCCACAAACCCCCTTCTAAGGAGGGAGACTTAATCTAGGGCTTGCAAGAGAAACTCCAACTCACAAAGAGGATATTAAAGAAAGTAATATTATCGTATATAGCTGCATGCATGGCCGCTGGAATATGATTCATCATGCTTTGCTTATATATACATATATCCTCTAGGATATAGGGCTGCCCTAACCTAGGCCGCCCTATGCAATGCGTATTCCTGGGGATCGAAATAAGTCTTCAACGTCATCAAATTGGTTTCTCTTTGTCTTGCATTCTTCTCCTCTTGTTGGTCATTTGGTCACCTACCAAAAAGGATCATGTACCCTAATGTCCACTTAGTTTCAATCTTTGCTAACGGTTTGTCATTTTGCTTCTAGAAATTTGCTAGCTAGCTAAGCTAGTTGGTTCAAATATAGTTTTTTTTTATTATTTACCTTTTTTGGGTAAACGTAACCCTAAAGGCTGACTTTTATTGATGGAAATGGAAGTTGCAATGCCAAAAGAAGAAGAATAACTTTTATCGTAAAAGTATATCGTAATTTTGACTTCTGATGTTAATATAAGTGTAAGTTTATTTTCACATGACGTTGTATTATGACATAGAATGCTACATTGATGGAAAACTTGACAATGCATGATGTTCTCTCACCGCGGCGCTCCCCCCCCCCCCCAAAAAAAAAAAAGAGAGAAAAAAAACTACCAATTCAAATGGCTACGTGTGCACATATGACTATGTACGGTGATTTATTCTTTTGAATTTTGCTTCGATAATACGAAAGATGAATGGTAATTGAAAATAAAAGATTTAACAAGTTTTGAAATCAACTTTAACAGTTAAAGCGCCTGTATTATTGAAATCACACCCTACTCTCTTTACCGAACACTTGAACCCTAAATTCAAAGGAGGAACTAGACCACATATATGAATACATATGTATGTATACATACACACACACACACACACACACACATACAATTACCCTAACCAATGATTCAAACGTATAGTAGTCTAGCTAATTGACCAAATATATTTACATTTTTATACTCTTTTTTTTTTTTTTTAGCAAACGACAACATTAGTGGGTTAAATAGTTTGTTGTTAAGGAATAGGAAAATTGATGGAGATCAAATCTACACCATGGTCATAAACATTATTACTTTCTGTCACTACGATAAAACGCCATTTACGTATAATAAAACACATTCACACAGTTTAAAAGTTTACGTATAATAGTTATTGAGGAGTATAATGATATGATACGTAGATTAGATTTCAATAGAAAAAATATATGTCCTATATAACTACATGGGCGTATTATAATAATATGTGCTTAGTGTGTATATATGTCCCGGAGTACTAGACGGTGAGGATCTTATTGGAATTGTAGTTCCGAGAAAATTAGCAAACCTGATGATCATACAAAAAAAAAGGTGATTCCAGACTAAGAAAGACAAGAAGAAAATTCCTGCTTCCATTCTGGCACACTCATTTTCCTCCAATTTTCTATTGAAGCACACTTCTTTTAGCCACACCCTTTTTTAATTCCACTTGGCCCCGTTCCGGGAACCATGCTTATCCCTTTTCATCACAATTTACAATTAATCAATTTACTCTCTCTCTCTCTCTCTCTCTCTCTCTCTCAAAATTTATGTGTATCAGAAACACATGTTACGTGATGTATAATTTTATGTATTATTATATGAATAGAGGATATGATTAATACATTTTACTTTTAAAGTTTACTAACAAAAAAATACATATATTATAATGTGAAAGAACCAATAACAATACATGACAGTGTTCCGGATACACAAATATCTCAAAAACTTCTCTCTCTAAAAAGTTGTTACTATTACTATATAAATGTGGAATATTGTTTATCCTATAGTATATCAAGGTAGCTATCTTAGCTCAATTAGATTCCAACAAGAAAGTAAAGATGGGGAGAGCTCCTTGCTGTGATAAAGCCAACGTGAAGAGAGGTCCATGGTCACCTGAAGAAGATGCCAAGCTCAAGTCTTACATCGAGCAACATGGCACCGGCGGTAACTGGATCGCTTTGCCACAAAAGATCGGTATGCAGATCTCAACCTTCTTCTTCTTCCTCTTCCTCAAATTAGTGTCCTGGTTAATCTATATCAAATTAATTAGTTAGAAGTTACCAGCTGTATAAATTAGATGGAATTAGGTTTTTGCTAATTTAATTCTCTGATGGATGATTTAGGGCTTAAGAGGTGTGGGAAGAGCTGCCGGCTTAGATGGTTAAATTATCTCCGCCCAAATATCAAGCATGGAGGGTTTTCTGAAGAAGAAGACAACATAATTTGCAGCCTCTATATAAGTATTGGGAGCAGGTAGACACATACATGAATTTAGCGTTGAATATCGCTTTTATATAATGAAAAAAAGCATATATAAATATAACCACAATATCAATTACACATCTACATGTAAATTAGTGTAATTTAGTTCCTAGCTAGGGTAATTAATTATTTGATTATTTCATAAATATAGATTATGTATGTATGTGTATATGTAGGTGGTCTATAATTGCAGCACAACTGCCAGGAAGAACTGACAATGATATAAAGAACTACTGGAACACAAGGCTGAAGAAAAAGCTTCTTGGTAGACAGCGGAAAGAACATCAGCTGGCTCGTAAATCGGGCCTAGTTAAACAAGACATCATCAAAAGGTCAGGCGGTGTTGGGGGAAACAGTAACTCCCATTCTGCCATTCTGGCCGCTGACGGTCAAAACTCTTACTGGCCGGAGCTTCCAGTGCTTGCAGCACCCACAGTACTACCACAACAACAACAACAGCCTTGCTTTAATGACCATGCTTCTATCAGAAAGTTGCTCATCAAGCTTGGAGGGAGGTTTAGTTCTGATATTAATCATAATCATGATACTAATCAAGCTACCCAAGATAGCTCCACCGATATTCAACCAACCTATCAAGTTCTTGATGATAATAATAACATTCCCTATGCCGCTACTGCTGTTACTCCTACTCATCAAATGGATGAGCACTATTCTGGAAAGAACATGCAAAGTCTATTAGTTCCTCGACATGGGATTCATGCTCTCAACAATTCTTCTGCTCCTGTGGCCTTAAGCAACATTGATGTCATTAGCCCTCATCAATTTGCACAAACACATTACATGGTCAACACGGATAATATTGATGGAGCTGGTAATGGTATAATGCATAATATGTTTCAAGGGCAAGGTGGTAATTATGTGACTGATCATCTAAAGGACATGGCGGTGTACAACAACAACAACAACACTGACAACCAACAGAGATTTGATGGGATGGAGTTCTTGTATGGCGATGAGATGATGATTATGAATAATAGAATTATTAGTAGTTATGGAGAAAGTATTGGGTGGGGTGAGATGCTGGGATGTCCTCCTGTGGCCTCCTCCTCAGACGACTATAATGCCGGCATGGACCGACTGATGCCGGCCGCACCCGTCCAAGAATGTGCTTTCGCCAACGACCAGTTGATGAGTAGTTACCCTGGGGCGCCATTATAAGATGATCATCGTGTACATGCAATTAATGTTATGTTAATATTTGGTAGCAATAGGGGGATCGGTGATGTTTTGGGCCAAATAGGGAAACCCTAATAATGAACTCATTAAATGATATGTTTGTTTCTTTCTTCTTCTATATTCTGTTAATTTTCAGACTGAATTTCTTCGTTAGTGTATAATAATCAGAGTTTGAAGCCCTACTAGCTACTAGGGGCAAATTTGATTTGTCAAGTACTGTGAAGCTTTTTCTCTGACTGAAAGAACATGCATGTTTCAGTGTGTTGTTCCAGTTGATTTTAGATGGTGGAGATCAGCATTTCTTCAAAGAAATTTACGAATAGGGGAAAAGGGTATGTATTTGTTGCCACTTGCCAGCGTGGTTATTAATTTATACTTATATATGTTGGTAAAAATGCATGTTCACTGGAAACCAAGATAGGAAAGCAGTTTCTTGGAACAAGTTTTATGAATAAGCATTCCAGGATTATGAAATCAAGGTAGTAAGGCTCGAAAACTAATGTCTTCAGTTTGGGAAGAGAGAGAGAGTTTTGAACATTTATCAGTTCTGAATGACACACATGCTTTGTAAGAATAATATGTCTTTCAGACCTTCATATTTTTTGTATGATTTAAACTTTTAAGACTGTCAGCTTTATTACTGTTATATAACAGTTTTAACTTTCAAGTATTATAAAAAAATTTAGTAATTAATACTCGTAAGGTATGGTGCTTCAGTTTGTAAGACTTTCTATTGTAATACATGCATGGATCATCCCCTCTCTCTCTCTCCCTCTCTCTGAAGTCTGAACACACAAAACATTTGAAGTCTGACCACACAAAACATTTGGTTTAGCTTTTGACCTAGTTGATGATTCACATCATCTAGATGTGTACATAATTGCATATATATTCTTGTTTGAATTTCTATTTCTGATTAAGCAATTTTTTTGTTACATTTGAATATTGACGAAGTAGTAAACCCTATTCAGTATTTATTAGTGTATATATAGGTGCATGCAATACTCAACCTTAACTAGATATATACACAAAATGTATAGCCAACAATGTTGACTGAGATCTAGAGAACAATGCATCTTCTTCAGAAAAAAAAAATAATAATAACAGAAGAACAATTCATCTGCACCTATCAATACATCCACACTTCCAAAGATAACTGATTCAAAGTTTTTGTTATATTGCTAGCTATAGGCAAAGCAATGCCATTGGTGTTTTGAGTATTATTTTTACTGAGTTTATACTAGAGTTAATGGTATGGGTGGGTAGGGTAATGAGTATGAATAAGCTAGAGATATAGGGTTCGAAACCCTCCTGCGTAACCATAAAAATTCCACAGAAATGAAGAAAATAAAGGAACTTCTGAGTAAGCTTTAAAATTCCACATAATCTGATATATGTGCATATTTACATGTAGGTTATATAAAAGAGGATGAAAATAACAAAGGCTCATATATGACTTGGTCTTTTTTGAGTACTGTAAATCAAGCTCTTGATATCGATTGTTGCGTAACAAGCTCCAATCATATATGGTATGCAATAACTATCAATTCACCAGTCAAAAGAGTTGCATGTGCTTGGAGTAATGGATGTCAAATGAACATGCTTTAATTAAATTCAATCAATATCAATTAACAGTAATTTCTTCTAGATCAATACAGCAGGCCGATGTTAATTAGCAGAGTAAGTTGCTTAATTTTGGTCTTCGATCATTAGCTTATTGTTTAACTACCACAATTATTTATTGCTTCCAGCTTCTCTTGTTAACTAACAAGCTCTTCCTTTCTACTTTCCAAATCCACTTTTTTCTTTTGCTTTTCTTTTTTCCAACAATTAGGAATCTAACCCTAGGTCCCTAGGGTTTTTTTTCATAATCATAATTATTTCTAGATGAAACCTACACATTATGTGTATTCCATTAATAAGTAGTCTCTTTTTCATTACAATTGATAATTCTAATGTAAACCACAACTAAGAGAATGAGGGAGGATTCAAACTTGAGTGCACTAAAAATAATACAAATACCCTAATCACGAAGACAATCGACCATATTCGAATCTTAAGTCAAACAACATCTAGCTAGCTATATCCCAACATAATTGAAATGGCCTCCAGATTACTTAATTATGTAGTTATTTGTAGCTTTGGTCAGGAAGGTCAAAGAAATACATTGTCATCTGGACTCAAATTATCTCTTAGGTCTTCGCTGACTGCTACAAGTGCAAAAGTCGATTACAGTTGTAAACTGCAATTTTTGGATTACAATATTTACTTTCTGTTGACATTGCAAATTTTGCATTAATGTTTGGTAAGCCATGGTCACGATTTGTTAGAATCGGTTGACATATTTTGAAATTGGTTGTATAGTTGCCTCTTCAAGCTAGCGATTCAAATTAGTTGGCCCCATCATCTGGACCAACTATTGAACTCAAAGTTAAAAAAATCTTCTTACTTAAGTTGATTCCACTAGCATATTCATCTATTTTCTTAATTATCATGAGCTCAATCATGAAAACATTACGGTTTTAAAAGGTAACCAATTCATACATTTCTCGAACACGAGTATTATATCATAAAGAATAAATAAATAAGTCATTCAACTCATATTATAACATGTGAAAAATTATACTGCATAGTTGTGTTCTAGCTAGTACCATACAATTTTTTTTTATGAAAAAAGAAAAAGAAAAACATAAAATAATGAGCTATTAATTAATTAATTTTTTGGAATAATGTAAGCTCGTAAGTGGGATATCTGATCTAGGTAAAACATATCCCATAAGATATACAGTCTCTCTGGCTTTCAGTATAGTATACTAGAATTATAAGCATACATAAAGCGGACATACACAAACTCCAGCAAGCAAATTAAGGAGACATTAACAGTTCTGAGGGCTAATACGAATTTAAAATAATCGCTAGTTATTCATCTAATTTCTTTCTGTAAAGTTAAAAGGAATATCCCAAACAAAGAAGAAACAGAACAGAAAAGTCCTCAAAGAAAAACCAACATCTCAAAATTTGACTTCTTGTGGTTACCATATAAATTCCCGTCAACTTGGTGACGATAATAAACACAAGAAAAATTAATTAAACATATTAACTTATGAATACGTGAATGAGGCCTAGAAGTGACAAGAGCAAAAGGACGACTTGTGTCACTGCTTTTTAATTATTTAATCAACTGAATCAACCTCCCTTAGATATTTAAATCCAAAAAATTTGATCCTTACTTCACAATAATCCTCAAGAAATATTATATTTATTAATTTTCAATATTATAAAACGATAATGACACTCACTAACATGAAAAATTCTTGCACGTTTGTCGTGTTGTTCAGCTGTTGGACCAGAAAAAAAGTGGGTTTGTATTAAAAAATGAAAAGAAATTCATCAGAGAATAATATAGCAAAAAGACTGCAGAGCTGGAGTGCTAATTCTGCATGCGATATTCAAAATTATATACCAGTTACGAGGTGAAGAATTAGAATTAGAATTAAGATAGAGCCGCCTAGGGTTGTGCTAATTTGATTGGTTTAGGGTTTCGAAATAGGATAAGTAAAGCATATGATAGTTTTTTTAACATACAATTCACTTGTCGGATTGATTTGGCTCATTTGGTTGCGTTGCGACAGTTTGTCGTTTATTATTTTTGCTCTAGGGTTTTGGCCTTGGCTAATGCTTATGCGTTTGATGAAAACTAAATGTTAGGTTGTATATCTTTTATCCAATGCCATACGCAAGCAAATTTAACACGTGCTTATTGAATATTTAGTCTTCCATAAATACTTTTTTTTTTTTTTTTGCCAAAAAATGATAGCAAAAAGGTACTTCATCCTCGAAAAGTAAGACTTTAGTTGTTTTTGTTTTAATTTTCGTACAATTTTATTTCACAATCAATTTCTTCTTTATATCATAGAGTAGTAGTGCTAGTATAATCGTCTAAACAGGTATGGGTTGTTGTGGATTGTTGATGTCTAGCTAGCTATTGTGGTACTCAATTGAATTAACGACTTTTAGATACTTGCATACATATAAATTATTGTTAATGACTGTTAGACACTTGCAACGTATAAATTATTGTCCTTATCATCGCTCTAAGAGCTTGTTTAGAATTGTTTTTTAAAAGATTAAAAGCAATTCATGATAATCAAAGTGCTCCTAACTACCTCTAACATAAAATTTTGAAAATATATGTGGGTCGTGGAAGCAATTTCATGAAGTAATAAGAGTGTGTTTATTGCAACAGACTATTTCAAACTAGATTAATTTAAGAGATTACGCTGGACTTACTTAAAAAAAAACATTTGGTGTTATGTTGTGTACTAAAATGTAGAATAATATAAATAACAAAAAATAATTAATTTTCTTTTTTCCTTCCCTTTTCATGAAAACTCTCTCATGCTCTTTCTCTTCCCTCTCCCTCTACTCCCGTCCAACTTTCTCTTTTAGTGCAGTATCCATAACTCAAAAATTAAAACCTAAAATCCAATAAATAAAAACTCAGAATCCTCCATTTCAAAAAACCCCGAATCCAACGCATGCAAATTGACTTGGCCATCCTCATAAATCGACTTCTCCAACACCTGCAAATCGACTTCGCCATCTCTGCAAATCTATTTCGATATCGATCTCTGCAAATCTGCATATCGTTATATCAAGCACACCGGGTGGCTCATGAGCCTCCTCAAGCTCTTTCTACTTCTCGAGGTATAATGACAGACCGAAAGGCTCGACTAGCTAGAAGGAATCGGCGGAGAAAATGCTATCCCCATTTGGACCAAGACATAACCTTTACTCGTTCAAATAACAATTAAGGTGAAGAAGGATCAGGAACAACGAATCTCTTTATGATGTTTTGGCTTATATTCCTACTAATGTAATTCCCATTACAGATGGACAAATATTCTCATCTACCGATTTATTCAATTCTGGAATCAAACCGGTCATTACTTGATAAAATGTGGAGGAAAGTAGGACAAATGACCGATACTACTGGAAGGACTTAAGCCATAACATACATGAAAATGTACTGTGCAAGAATCCACAGTTCCCTTTTTGTTATTTATTTACTTTACTTCTCCTTGTCGCGTTCCACACCAACCATTGGGTTCACAAATATCTCGTCTTTTGGGGATATGGGTTTCGACGGAGCCCATCGGCTACAAGGACGATGCGAAGCAAACTAAGACGAGTTTGAGGCGAAGCAAAGCATATGTTAGAGACGAGATTAGCAATCCTCTCCATTCACTCAGGGGGTGGACTCACTAAGACTACATAGCCAAGGATTTAGTCGGCACAAGTCCGACTTAATCCCTTTAAAGTAAGTCCCTGCTAACACGAACTAGTAAGCTAGTCTATTCCAATTAAACTTAACAAGACCAAACAAATGCGCCCTTAGAGCTTTAATAAAAAAAAAGAGAAAATTTTTGAAATGTCATGTGAACTTGTATGCATTTTTCAATTTATCATATAAACTAATTTTAAGTAATTTGTCATATAAACTAAGATTTTAAGCAATTTGTCAAATCAACTTTCCAAAATCATTAATTTGTCATCTTACCCTAACTTTGTTATGTTTTTCATCTAATATAATTCAAGATTATTTCAATCATTTTAGCATCTTTTTTTTTTTTTTACTTTTCCTTAGTACAAACACTTAAATTTTGTGTTCGAGGGTATTCACAGGGATTGGTGTGAACAAAATCTCTGAGAACAAGTATAAAGTAGTAGTATGCTCTTCTGTGGCTTTAGAAACCCTAGAGTTTTTTTTTTGTCAAATACAACTTAATAAAAGGAAAGTGAAGTGTTAGAATGACCCAAATAACCCTATACACAAGTCATGTGCGAGGCACATGTCGCACATAACTTATATTGAATGGAAAACTTAACAGGGTTAGATGACAAATTAATGATTTCGGAAAGTTAGTATGACAAATTGTTGAAATTTTTAATTTATATGACAAATTGAAAATTATGTATAAATTCATATGATATTTTAAAAATTTCCCTAAAAAATATAAAAATAAAACATTCTCCTTAAATTATAAAAGCAAGCTCGAACGAGCCCTAGGCAATCAAGTCCGTTCTGATACGAGGCCATAGAAAAAATAATATTAAAGTTTACTGATTGAGTGAATTAAACATACGGCCCAAAATTAAAAGAATATGAAAGGCCCAGTACATTTTTAATGAGTCCAAACTCCTCATACATTAACCAGCCCGGCCCACATTAATATTTTAGAAAAATAAAAATCTAGTGAACTTTACGTTAACAACAGTGGGAAATTCGAATCCCCAATTTGTCACCAGCTGATAAATTAACCCTAGAAAATGAGGAGAAAACTCAGGCGATAAAACAGGACCAGCCAGACACCATCAATGGCGTTTCCGGCGTCAATTCTGTCGCCGCCGTCCGCAACCCCCAAATTTCCGGTACCATTCTTCACTCTTTCACTCTCCCAAATTCCCAATTACTTAAAACTTTGAAATTTTCAGGTTTTCGATTAATTAATTATGATTATTTCCAATTTTCCTTCTTTTCTTCATTTCAGATTAACCTATTCAATCAGAAGCCCTGCCGAATTCGAAACAGCTTCCACCCAAGCTGTGTAAAAGCAGCTTCATCCACGGCACAGTATGGAGAACCCAACAAAGAAAATAAGCAGAAGCTGCAAATCAAAAGCACTTTTGTGAAGGCGAAAGCTGTGGGAAGCCGTACCTGCCCCGGTGGAGGAGCTTCCATGGAAAAAAGTAGCAGATACAGCGCTGGAGCTTTGCTTGGGAAAAAAGCATTTATATGGTAATTTGTTACTTTGGGCATCTCTGCTTCCTATCAGACATATTTTCCATCTCCAGAAACTATGAATTGGTGATACCATTTGGTCTGTTTGTTGGGTGCTTCTTGACTGATGTTTTGGAAGAGGCATTGCTGCAACTGCTTCCCTGCTCAGAGGAGATGCCACCAATGGGATCGAAAAGCACTTATTTGGTATAAGCTGCTTTTTTGCTGCTGTTAAGTTTGTCTCTGCTGGTCTCCCAATGCAGGCAAGGGTGTTTCTTCTGCACGTTGCAAATGGCGGGTTCCTGCAAGTTTTGTGGTTGTGGCGAGGTTTGTTCAACAGAAACAGATGAAGATGATGTCGAGAATCGCGATTCTTCAGTGGTCATGGATGTGAAATCTTAATTTCATGTATGCAATTCAAAATGTGCTTCGAGAATCAAATAACGAAACTTTGCATTAACATTACATAAAACTTTTCAACTGTTTTCGACAACATTTCGTTTAAAATACAAACTATTTGCTTTGCACATATCACAACTGTACACAAGATAGAGTTGCTTTGCACTCATACTGTAGAAATTGGGAATTCTCTCGGAATTTTGTAAAATGTTTTACTTGTATCACTCGTATCTGTACAACGCTCCGATGGTATTTCCAGTCAGAAGGAGAACCTGCTTCTTAAGATACAGGAATCTCGTTCCAGCCGGCACCATAAACTTGAACTTGCATACAAGAACAAGTCAATTACGTCCCAGAAGAAAACTCACTTTAGATCTCCCTAGATTCTGCACCGTTGAAGGTGACATTCCATGACGGATTAATTTGACTGGGTTCCTCCCCTGAAAAGAGAAAAGCACAAAGAACCAAGCGATTACATCATTGATGCCGCATACAGGAACAGGAACCCTCGCAAGTACTGGATGAATCAAACCTGGGGGCTTTGCATTCTCTGGATCTGGAACGATGTCCCCCTCATGGCGAGTTGAGCCTCCAGAACTGCACGAGTCATCAGGAGTTAATGGGGCCTGGCAATAAGCTGAATGCAGCTGTTTATAAGCCTCTTCCATCCTCCCTGATTGCTCATCCTTTTGGTCCATATCAATAAGAATCTGCAAACAATCCACTCATCAAAATTTGAAAGAGTAGAGAAACATGGTCTCAAATACCACATAAATGCACGCGCACGAGCGCACATAAGTTCATTTTCAATAACTACCTCTGCAACATGGTTCTTGAACACCGGTTTAAACTGCTGTCGACAGTACTCGTTAAACAAAAGAGTGAAGATAAGCAGTGGAATAGTGAAACCTGACGCAATTGGTGTTCTTCTTAATCCAAAGACACCGAGAGCAATTATTTGCATGATAAGCAATGAAACTATGACTGTATTGTGAATCATAGGCCAAAACTGTCCCCCACTTTCGTATTCTGCTATATACACATTGAGAATCTGAAATAGGCATCGTAACGCTTTAGCAAAAGATTGATTATTTGAATGCCCCCAAACAAAAATAAAATATGAAAAGAGAATAACTATGAAATGAGGACAATAACTAAATACGACTAGAAAGAATGAGAGTAAAAACCACATGCGATGGCCAGAATGTGAGAGGAACTTACCTACACCGGGGATGCTACAGTGGCATCCCCGTTGCAGGGTAGTTCTTCTCCCTAAAATGAGACCTGACAGAAAAAGGAATGATGGATGGGAGAAGTCCTCACCTGGTTTCGATATATAAAGTAAGCAAGTACAAAGTAAACCAGCAAGAATGGCAATATTAGGGGAACCAAGATAGCACAGGTGAAGCCGATGAACCCAAACAGCAGTACTCTAGGAATTTCTGTATGATATGGAAATGACAGGGTGTCATTATACCCTTCTTTCAGTAATATGAACCGTCGGAAATAGTTGCAAAGAAGAGGATAAATTTGCATGAGTTCACATGCCAAGCTTGCCCAACCAGATGATAAAACATAAGTCATGAAGAACTTAGCCTGAAATTTCAAGACACAATCATAATTAAAAAAACAATAATAAAGCTTTAAACTTTCCAAGATATAAAAGGCTGGAAAACTTCTACTTTTATAAGCATCTTATTACTGATGTAATGTCTCGAAAAGTCAAAACAATTATCGGTCACAAAACTCTATGTCACTTTGTTAACCATTATGACCATCCGTAATTCAAACTAAAATTGATTGAAAAAGTTTACATGAGATGACAATTTCTAATGGACACTTGCAAAGTAACCCGTTTCAAACTTGACAAGGAAAAACAGTGGGCAGATGTAAGTGATGTAACAGTCCAAATAGACCTGGAACATAAAACTATTTATCTTCTAAACAAATTTAAAGATCAAGGCATATCACCTGTGCTGGAACTGCATTGGCAAGTTGCCCAGGTATGTCTTTCACACTAGAAAATACACTCAACTGGCTGATAACAGAGCCGGTAAAAACATTAACAAAAAAGACATTCCAGATTGTGAAGTATAAGACTTTGAAGCATGCACTCTTTTTCCTCTGACTGCGGGAGATCCACCCCTCCACTGTTGAAAACAGCATCATGACTGGTGGAACTATGTAAAAAGCCAGAATTAAAACCACACTTGGTAGGTACCCCGTTATCACCTGGCTCATAAATTTCCTGCACATGCGCACAAAGCAACCATGCAAATGGGTCAAATCCATTGCGAATCTTTATCCCCGTACACACAAAAAATTGGTCCATGTCTAGTATCCATGATAAACAGCATAACAAAAAAATTAAGGTAACAAGAAGAATGTATCTGTGTCAATTGACTTACTTTTTGAGCAATCCTTTCAAAGCTGGAAATTTCTTTTCTAGAATTTTTAGTGCAGTCATGCCCTGAACAAATGTGACAGGTATAAGAAACACAAGCATAAAAGCAATAGTAGCCAGAAGTGTAGCTATCTTCCGGATCCACAGTTGTCCATACGGTATCCAAAGGTTTGACCAATAAACATCATTTGGTTCCGGAGCCATATCTGTCACCCAATGCATGGGATTTGAAGACTGAAGAACCTTTGAAGTAACAACAGCAGCATAGCGAGTTTTGAAAAAGACAAAGGCAGCAGCACACACCTGTATGTAAGACATATATTTTAAGCTACAATGTTGAAAATTCCACAGAAGTTTACACTCACTCAGACAAACATTTAAACCTAAATGATGACAACAAAGTCAAACTAATAGAACCACAAAATGAAAATGTCACTCATTTTGTTACGGTGAATAGACAGTACGCAAGATTCATCCTCATGTCTATGACACTGCCATGTCGGACTTTTTTACTAGCTACTTACTCCGCAGATTAAGGTTTGTACTTTCCTATACATAAATGGAATAATTAGGGGGGGAAATGGATATGCATGTTTACTTGTGTGCATGTATGTTTTTTTATCATAAAATAAACATATTAACTTACATAAATACATACACAAACATAGATATAGATATTACTTTAACATTGAACAACTTTTATTTCTACTTTTATTTTATTTGAACTATGGTAACTAAATAAGAAAACATCCAATATAAAAACTAAAGAGCCTATACAATTAATCACGCCAAACACAGTTCTGCTTCCAAACATTCAAGTCCAAATTTATGCTTAAGGTGTTATAACCGCCACAATAATACCTGGCCAACCGTCTAACAAGAACTAGAGCCTACTGAGGCAAGAATACATGGTGATACTAAGAACACTTACAGGAACACAATATTATTCTAGGACTGATATGTACATAATTTTCAAGAACTCCATAGTCGGAAAACGATTCTTAAAGAACCAAACCAGATGCAAAGAGTCAAGCCATACATAATCACTAGTTGAATGTGAATAATGATGAAAACCAGAGCAAATTAAATTAATCGGGGCCAGAGCTTGTATGACCTTTTTTCTTCCACCCAAACTATTGTCGATAAGGGATGACTTCCCTTAACACTCTCTGAATCGGTCGCGAGTATCTTAAAAGAATCAGTAGCTCCTCCACACATACCACAATGAAATAAACCTGGTGCATGAGTCTGTTCCACAGAAACATCCTTAAGAATTTTGCACACCCTCCCTGCATTGCTCTGCAAAATTTGATTTTTCATAAAGTTGCATTAAAGAGAATATGAGACATAATTGAACAGATGCATATGAGTGGAAGAAAAACCCAGCGATCCTATATTCAATTCGCAAAAAAAACCCAGCATATAGTTTATATAGCTATCTTAAACCACATATTGGTCTAAGTGAAACTCATGCTAGCAGTTATGACAATATAAGCCAATAATAAAACAATGTGGCTCAGGAAACAGCTGAAATAATTCAAGCCACGTACATACCATCAGTTTCTGAACTTTACCAACTCGATACACCATTTGGTGTGACAAGTAGCTTGATGCGTGATATTTTGTGAAGAATTTTCTTACTGAATCACTATATGATTCTTCCGGTGACCATGGAATAGCACGAACAACAAGTGTAAAATGACTTGGACTTAACGAAGATCCGGTAATATATGCCAGCCTCAGTCTAGTGATGTGCTTATATTCCTACAGAAGAACCACCACAGATACACCAAACCAATGTCTTAGGATGCTTATATATGTATGAATTAAAAAGCATGAATAAGAACTTTTTACAATATATATACTATATTGTACAAGAGGATGGGTTTTAAATCCTTACAAAGTATAGGAGAATACAAGCTGAAGCAGTGATAATGTACAATGCGAGACAATGGGTCCAGAGCCTGACATGAATTAAAACAGAAAGCAAATGACCAATTAGAAATTAGTTCCCTGGTGTACATAACCATAAAAAGTTAAATCAGAATTTAAACTTCATAAAGATTGAGAGAAAACAAAATAAAAGGCGCATAAAAGATGCAATTTTTAATAATTGTTTCAATAATCAAGAATATATGTCTCGTACCACTTTGAACCTTCTTGAACGTTCAAGATGGTAAATACTTCCAAGGATTCTTCAGGGATTCCCGGGTGATTCTTGGTTTGCCCATGATAATTCACCGGAAGTACTATAAAGACGCATATGACAGCAGCAATGGAAAAGATTCGAAGACTGTAAATAGAAAAAAAAAAAAAAAAAAAAAAAACATTAGGTATAAACTATTATTCTGCAGGCATAAACCATAAAGATCTAGGCAGGGTTTAATTACCTAAAAATAACCATCCTGATAAAAACCACTGAATCCAAGCCACCAACAGCCAATAAATCTTCTTCTCTTGTTCTCCATGCCTTCACTAGCCAACTAGCAGAAGGTACAAACCTTTCCAAGCAGAAAGGATCACTTCTTCTTTTGGTTATCGAAACCGTTCGTCCAAAGTAGACATTCACATTGCACGGTTGTTTCCTCAAAACAGAATATAGCGAAAGGAGTATCACGCACACAGCGATATTAATCCCCGCAGAAGTCAAAAGAGCTGCAAGATTCATCTCTATCCACTAAATCTACAAT